TACATTCATGTTTCTATCATGTCTGTTCATTAACATGCACTGTCGAAATCAAATAAACCTATAAAACAATAAATAAAACCAGCTGAACTTGCTCCTCTTCTAATAATGAGGTAGATCCAGTAGGACTGAGCAGGACTGCTGGTCTCTTGAAAACTTTGCATGAGTTACGCTACGTTCAGACTGCAAGCAGCAGGAGCAGCAAAATGCACGTGCTGCTTCATTTTTTATGCTTGTAAGTTTAGTTCTGACGCACAGCTGAAGCATCTTTGCCTCTCTAGCTGCTCCGTTGGGCGGAGCTACCCTATCCTTTTCTTACCTGGAACAATGGCAGCTATATTTGCTGTGATCAGGGGGTAAAAAGTAGTTTGAATCTATTTTGAAGTGAAAAAATCTTCCTGAAAACATCGTCAGTGCAGTCAGTTCATCCAGATTACCATCCTGCCTTCAAATATTATGTCTGTCGGAGCCGCTCTGACCCCTGTACACTGTGCGCTGTCACTAGGAATTAGGGGTGTAAATAATAATCGTTTTGTATCGATGCATCAATCCATCAGCCGACGATCCGATGCATCGATACGTCCGTAAGAGTATCGATTCATGCTTTTTTTTCCCTCCTGTCTATTTTTATCCATTTGCTCCTGGACGTAATTCTCCCTCCCGTGCTGCGGTGGCGCTATACGCTGTGGGTCTAGATACGGCCGAGGCGGTGAGGAAGTGGGGGCGAGTTTAGTCCAAAAGGTCCAAAAAAAGCGGGATTTCATATCATGTGATATGAAATTGTTTTTATAGACGTTTCGTTTTTTTTTTATAAAGCATTTTAAATGCCACAGATAAACACATTTAATCAATTTTCATGCCAATTAAGCAATAATTTTATGACTTTAAATTATGAAAATGTGAAATACGCACGCCGCCTTGCAGAAAATCGTGTTTGTTTGACTTCGTCCGACATGATTTTTCGTCAGATCGGAAGCAAAATGTGATTCAGAGTGTTCAGGGTTAGCCTTGATCAACATGTTAAGTCTAATGACGGATTGAACCTGATGTCTTTTAAATCAGGTTTTTGATAGGCCACTCACTCATCAGCTGCTTCCTGTTTAGGTTCAGGTGTATGCCGTGCATCTCTGCTCCAAACTGATATTGTTTAGGACCACAGGATAAATTCCTCTGTACCTCAGAGTCATTAAAGACCACCTGGTTTATCTCTCTTCCTGCCAGCTATTGATCCAGCCATATTGTCCCCCTCTCCTCCCAGCCTCCCTCTGCCATCTGCTGCATTGTTCAAAACAGCGACTCTCTGAGATGGAACACTGAAGATCTGCTAACTGGCAACAGCAACTGAGGGAAAATTATTCCAATGGAAAAAAAAAACAGTTTTAAACCTGTAGGCCTGTATTTCTGCTGTTTTTTCCTCCATTATTCTTAGTTTATAAAGCAAGAAGAGGTGGGGAAACACTGCCTAGACCTTGGTGGGGTTTCTTTTATTTAGTTTTTACGGGATTTGTCCAGGGAAAAGGGAATATGGTAACCAGACAACTGTTTTCTATGCATCCAGTGAAGCATATAAACCCTTACACATTGGATTCTAGGCCCCAAGGCAGTGGGGAAACAAGGCATGTAACCATGCATTCAGAGTGTTTATTAAATGAAGCCCAGGCTAAAATTAAACTGGATTGCTTACACTCAAGCAGTCAGAGGCTAATCCGTCTGTAAAGCAGCTAATTAGCATTCAACCACACCTGTTCGTAATCCAATCAGCATTAGAGTCCCGCTTAAAAGACTTCGACTTACCACCAACAAGCATCTGAGTTAAATCACATGTCAGACTTTGATTCTGTTGACCCTAATTTAAATATTAGGTTCCAGGCTGCTATCTTCCCAGTTAATACCATACCATACCATACCAACTTTATTTATAAAGCACTTTAAAACAACCACAGTTGATACAAAGTGCTGTACAATTTAAGAACACAACATAATAAAAGTAATTTAAAAACAGTTTAAAAAACAAAAACATACAATTTAAAAACTAGATCCCACTGGTGCTGAAAGCCAAGTAAAATAGATGGGTTTTAAGACGAGCTTTAAAAATGGGCAAAGAAGTTGCCTCTCTAATGCTGCGGAGCGCCCAATTGCCCCTTCGCTCCGATCTACTTCAGTTAGGAGCCAGGAGAATCTCCCCCTACTGTCCGCTTGCTCTCAGCCTAATCGCTTACCAAGCTTTTTCAGGCCCACCTTGGTCCCTCCCAAATGTCCCTGCTGCCATTGTATCGTTTCCATTTACGTTCCTCCATCTTCATCCGTCTGACATAATGTCCCTTCTTCCCTGCTCATCACCTCCATCGACAGTTTATAGCTCCGTTGCTTCCCTGACTCGCCTTCAGGGATTCGTGGCTCCCGGCTTGCCTGTGCTTCTTGTCATCTGCCCATACATCACGCAGCACATATCTCTACTGTCACCTGACCCTGCCTTCCTCAGGTTAGATTCATCTTTCCGAGACTCGTTTTCATGTTTTCTTTCCAATCCCCCTTCCTTCAAAATCATATATACATGCTTATGCTCTCAAACATTTCTCCCAGCCTCTCTCACCAGCAGCACTAATCTAGGTCCTACTGATCCAGGTGCAAACCTAATTGGGACACAGAGGGGCCAAAGGAGCCTGTTCTATATACTATGATGCAGAGTTCTTGTTTTATGATTGGATTTGGGTTTTCCGAGAAGCCTCATTAGGAGTCATCATTTGCTCATGAACCCTTTCAGCATAACTAAGCGCAACATTTAACCTTCTCTCCCCAGCTGGCATTTAAACATATATATATATATATATATATATATATATATATATATATATATATATATATATATATATATATATATATATATATATATATATATATATATATATATATATATATATATATATATATATATATATATATGCAAACAGATCAGTACAGGGACAGGCAGGCTCAGAGATCCATGGTGGAAAGTAAGGATCAGGAAATGAGAAACATCCAGCTGCCATGCACGTGGGCGTTGTCAGTTTCACTATAGCTCTGGTGAATTTCAATGGTGAAGTCCTCTGGAAATCTTCAATAATTGTTGTTGATTGCAGATGTGTCTAGTAGTTCCCATTGACTTTGCTTGTAAAGCGGGGAGAATGGCGCTAGGCTTACCGCACCGTGACGTCACGGCTGGAAGATGGCAGGAGGGACGGGTTACTATATGTAGGAAAAAATGGCCGCTCCCAGAATCAGTGATCACGATTAAAATTATTATGCTTGGTGCTCGGTTCCCTGTTCTTAGAGATTCACTTCCATACAGAAAGCCCATATTCTGATCTTCAGCTACCACAGCATACATTAAATAATGATAATTATACTTTAGTGATATTATCAAGGTGCTCATTTATTATATCTCCTATACTATATACGTTGGTTGAGCTGTTCTTTTTACATCTCTTTGCAGGTGATGAAGCAGACAGAAGACGTTTTATAATTATCTCCCTTTCATTTCTCCTTTCTTTCATCTTTCCTCATTTTTCCTTTTTTTCCTTCCCTGTTCTACTTACATTGCAGTGTCCATATTAGGGGTGGGTATTGGCAAAGAAGTCATTCTTCACGATGCATCATGATGCTTGAAATATTGCGATGCATTGCGATATTTTCACTGAACACTGTAAGAAAAAGATACAGCCCTTACCAGTGGCTGACTGGCTTGGTGTGATCTGGATAGTGTTTTTAATTGATACATAACTGAAAGCAACTGAATTTATATATAGCTGTATTTATTGAAATTACTTTTGGAGGTGTTGCCATGAAAACAAATACTGGACAGAAATATTACTATCACTGGAGTAGACACACTGACAAAAAGATCTTAGGATTCATCAAACTTTAAATAACAAAATAAGGATAATCAGTGCCGTTTACATGGCCTCAGTGGTCCTTTAAACCAATGAAACAAAAACATTCAAATGTATATTTCCCCTTTTGCAAATGACGTGCATCATATCAATTTCATTTTTATCTTTTTTGTTTTTAAAGCCAGAATACATCCAAGCATCTTAATTGAAATGTGATGGAGCCGGGCGAATTTTCTCATTGTCCTCCATGTTTTGTTTACGAATGACTCATCACAGTATCCCACGGCCGGACATGCTTGTGACACAAAGCAGCAAGCGTCAACACATCCGCAGCAACATCTGCTGGACTGGAAGTTGTATTCCACTTGGTTTGGCTGATGTGCGCCAACCATTCATGTATTTTATTTGATCATTTTTTTAAATTAAGAATTGATACTTGGCATCAAGAATCAATGCAGTAGATCACAAAAATTAGAATCGCGATGCATCGTCATGACGGTTATTTTGCACACCCTTAGTCCATATAATCTGTAATACTCCCTGCATGAATTATAATAAAGCAATTTATATGCATAAATCAAGCGGAACACTATGGCGATAGCCATACTGCTCCACTGGGGAAAGTAAAATCTGTTGGGCTCGTTTTGGCATCAAGACAATTATTCTTATTGCCACATTGCCAGACAGGACGCTGTTAAAAAATAAACCAAAAAAAGAAACCCAGAACATTAAATCACCACGGAAATATTACTTTTAGGTATAGATAATGATCCACTGATTATTCCTTGCTGAACGGAGTTTTCCTTTAAAGGTTTCAACCTCTCTGAGAAGAAGGACAACAAAACCTCCTTCAGCCATCAACAACTGGGTCACGCCAGTAACAGGACCACCCAGTCTGAACAGCGAGAGGTAAATCTTGCAATCCCTCTGCTGTATGTTGAGGACCACTGCTCTAGATGATCCAGCGTACCTTAGTGTTATTACATAAAAGTTCAGCGATAGCTGGCACTTCTCTCTGAGATTTTATTCAAAGTTGCCTTAAAGAACACTGCATTAAGCTCTTGGACATTATTTATTAAACATGGCTGAATTTGTTTGCTACATGTGGGACCAAACCAACAGGGAAGAACTTACTTGGCATTGTCATCACACACGCCGCCACAGGCGTCGTCTTTGATCTCTGAGAAACACAGAAGTCAGGGATCAACATGGAGTCCAATCACAGCTTTGTGTTTGAGTAACTAGAACGCACCTATAGAGCAGGACGCTCCTTTCCACCCTTTGTAGCAGAGACACCTGCCGCTTCCTGCTAGACCGTCGTCACACTTTCCATGGTTGCATGAACACTCTGCAACAGATACAATAACACATAAACAATTCAAATTCTGCTGAAAGAAGGACCAGATCACATATAGCAAAGTTCACAGCAGCCTGTTGGGCTCAACTATATGGAAAACATCACTGAACTGAACACAGAGAAGAAAATCCCTGAATGCAGAGCGTGAATCCATCCCCCTACACAGTCCAAGGAATGAGACACAGCTGGGAGATCCATGATGTCATAGTCAAACAAACCCCTGGCATGAAGCAACATATACTCCCAGTGCCCTGCTGACCACAGGGAGCAGCAAGTAAGGATGTCCTGACTTTGCAGACTGAGCTAGACTACTTCTTCAAAGAGAAACTAGATCAAAGGTTAAGAGCAGTTTATCAACTCCACCAAGAAGGCTATGTTTTTAGTTGAGTTTGTGTGTTTGTCTTTCTGTCCGTCTATCTACAGGATAACTTGGAAAGTTTTGAACAGGTTTTATTGAAATTGTTACCAAAGGTGCACCTCAGTCCAATTAAATTTTGGTGATTTTTAAGGGTTCTTTAAAATTTATCATTGGCAGAACAAGCAGTTCCCCCCTCAACCAGAGGGTGGCAGCAGTCACTATTGACAGCTTCAGTATCCGACTCAAAAAAGTCCAGACGTATTATACTGAAGACAGGAAACACAGGAAAGGTGAGCTATGCATCACTCGAAGTTTTCTAAACAAACAGGAAAGCAGAGTGAATGAAGAAGGTGAGAACAGAACAAACACCAGAGGCTGCAGACACAAGTTATGAAACAATTTTAATGACATTGATACAAAAGGTGTGCCTCATGCCAAGGAACAATTATTAAAACTTGGTCATGATCCAGATCATGTGTGAGTTATAATTATAATTAACAACGTGCTTCAAAATTTGCTGCCTGGCGGAGGTCCGCACTGTCTGAGTGCTTTTCTAGTTCTTTCTGTTTTAATGGTTAGAAATAGAAACAGGCTTAGGGAGCTTAAGCAAAATTTGGATAAAGCCCAAAGATGCAGTAATGCTGCAAAAAGTCACTAAAGCCAGGATTCCAAATACTCCACTTCTGTCCATGTCAGCTCAGTGGCAGACTGCCTGTCTGTGAAAAGCAATTCCCTACATTCCACATTCTTCAAAGTCTAAGCAGGGCATGCAAAGAGGTCTGGGCGGAGCCAAACAGACCGTGGATGGTGATGTTCGGGAGAGGGCGGAATGGTTCTCATTATTTAACATAACTAGGCTCCGTCAGGCTTTCATGACTAAACGTGAGTGGAGCTGGGGAAAACTGGGAGACGTGGAATCTTTGGGGTAAAACTGAGCTCTACAATCAGACTGGCCCAGATGCAGGTTGGTCTGCAGGAAGAGATCGATCGATAGAACATGAATCATGTAGGTTTGTGGCCTTTATGGGAGTTCTAGGGCAAAACTCTCTATAGACGAGCGGACAAAATTGTCGGTACCCCTCATTTACTGAAAGAAAAAAAACCTAGTTGGCAACAGAATAAAAAATGAATTAATATTTAGTTACACAACTTTTCTAGCCAATCACTGCAATCAAATTTTCCTTTGACTGTTAATAAGACTTCAGCTTCTCTCCTCCACTCCTCATCAGCAAACTGCTCCGGTTGTCTCAGGTGTGAAGGTTGCCTTTACCAGGCGGCCTTTTTCAGCTCCTTCCATAGGATGTACGTCAGGGCTCCTAATTCAGAGTAGTCCAATGTTTTCCTCTTAGCCATTCTTGGGTGTTTCTAGCTGTGTGTTTTTGGATCATTATCCTGTTGAAGACCCATTATCTGTGCCTGAGAGCAAGCTTTCTGACACTGCAGGACAGTGAAATATCAATTTCACTGCTTGCAACAACTTAACCCAAAAGTTTATTTTAACATAAACCACTGCACCAATGTTTTAAAATTTTGAAAAGCTTCCGATACAGGAAGAAAGCTAAAAACAGACAAATGACAGATATATTTAAACAATTATTTAACTGAATTCACAAACTTTGTTTTAACAGGGAACAAAACAAATCAGTTTTAAAGCCCCAACATAACCAGTGCTAAGTCTTTTTGCAGCTATTTTTCTTTGTATGGTTTTCTTAGTATGTTTGATTTGGTGATAAGTGGAGGCGTTGCAGAGACAAGGGTGGAACAAACCTGAGAAATACCGGCTGTTTCTCGGTAACTCCATTTTGACGTTTTGTGTTTCGTGCTTCGCATGTGCGACTCCACTGCCTTAATTCCCATCGTTCTGAGCTTGGATCGCTTCTTGCACAAAATAAACTGTGCCTCATGTATGTTCCCTGGTTTTAGCCATGGAGAAAACTCTTGGCTGGAGACAATTTTGGTTACATTTATACTTGCTCATATTTTCCAGACAAAAAGTTAATGGTGTATCTCCCAAATGTCCCGGCCGCAACAACGCTTTTATTGGTTCCGTTATCGAGACGGAACCAATAATGGTGAGTCATTTTTTTTTTTTTATGAAAAAAACCCAAATTGTCAATTTTAACATTTTATTTAGATTCCAAAAATAAATCGTAATAAAAATAATCCTATTTATGATGTTTTAAAAATTAAGACCTATGAAAGACTGATTTAAGACATTTTAATACCAATTAAGGCCTTAGTTTTATTTTGAAGAATTCAATGCCTTTTAAGACTTTGTAAGGACCCGCGGGAAGCCTGTGTCACAGCCTCTGTATTTTTTAAATGTTTTTATTTTGTTTCGGACACTGTGTTTTTTATGCTTTTTGTGCGGTGACCTTGAGTGTCCAGAAAGGCGCCTTTTAAATTAAATGTATTATTATTATTATTTCTCTCTAGATCCCTTTATAGTCTTGAGATTTCATTGAAGCCAGCAAAGCATCAAGAAACCCTGTGCCGGATGAAGCAAAGCAGCCCCACAGCATAACAGAGCCTCCTCCATGTTTCACAGAAGGGACAGTGTTCTTTTTCCGATAGGCTTCTTTTTGGTCGCTTGTCAACATGTAGTCTGTCAAATTCCAGTCTGTCTTGTTTTATAAATTGTATTCAGCAATGATGTCCTCCTTGTAGGGCTGAGTGATAAACTGTATTTTTACCGTTACCGTCATTCACTACGACAACCGGCGTCAAATTTTCCCATGTCAGCAAAAGCAATAAACTTAATTTTGCTGTTTTGCATATGTGCGAGGGTTGCTTGTATTTGAGACACTGCAGCATGTGTCTAATCACGTGACCCCACCGATCCAGTCAGGAGCATAAAGAGAAAGGCAGATGAACCCATTAAAGAAGCTTCTAACACATCTATAAACAAAATTACATCAGTTAATCTTGTAGAACCGAGTGAGACCAGAGATGAACCTGAGCGCGCAGAGAAGAAGTTGAGAGTGCGTTGTCAAAGTTGAGCGTGCAGCAGACCGGTTTTGAGCGAGGCTGTGCAAGTTGAAACAATGCACATTGTTCTCACTGCATGTTAGTCACCTTTCAATCTCTTTGGGAGTTTTTCCAGGCTCTTTTGTTACCATTAGTCTCTTATTTGTCATCAATATCCCTCCTGCAGCCACGTTCAGGGAGGACAGCTTCAATCCCATGGATCTTAGATTTCTAAATAATACAGTGGATTCCGCTTATAGGGGTCACGGATAGAGTAATCAAACGCTTATACAGATCAAAAGGCTTGGGACAGAATCATTTCTATACAAATGCTGTGTAAATAATTTGTTTATAGTAGTTAAGAAATCCACCTATAGTCATTTTCGGCCATTTTATGAATGTAAACTTGCAAAAATAATTAATAAGTGGATCTAAAGTGATGACAGCAGTCCCATGTCAGAGCCTGTGACGGATGAGGACATCATGACGGAGGAGACTGTTGTCCCTTCCAGAGCTGGGATGAGGAATGCAGTTTGCATTTTAAAGACTGGTCTCCTGAATAATGGTTTAAACAACTTTGACCTTTTACATCGTTTTGAAAAAGAAATGAACTCGGTGTTGGACACTCTGATGCAGGGAACCATGGATAAAAATGTTAAGTGTTTTCTTAATGCGGCGCAGCAGATCGGTAACACAAAACAGAGGTAGGCTAACTTTAATTTTCTGCGGCCTATGCAGTTATCTTCTATATTGTTGTTTCAAGCTTTATTTTCAGACATGTTAAAAAAATGCAACGGTGGCAAAGCAGAGCCGATGCACAAAATAAGATACATAGGCCTACTGTAGAATATTATAGTTATGTCCGCACACTTGCGCAGTACTGTGCTGTAATTAAGCATTTATGTCTGCACACAGCACAGTATACTGTTTTGAACCCAAAGCTGATGACCATAGATGAGGGTAGGAACGTAGATCGACCGGTAAATCGAGCGCTTTGCTTTTTACCTTTACCATAACAGACCGGTACAGCACACGCTTCACAGCAGACGCCGCACCAATCTGCCTATCGATCTCCCGCTCCATCATTCCCTCATTTGTGAAAGAAGACCCCATGATACTTAAACTCCTCCACTAGGAGCAGTACATCCTCCCCAACCCGGAGAAGGCACTCTACCCTTTTCCGGCTCAAGACCTTGATCTCGGATTTGGAGGCCCTGACCCGCTTCACACTCGGCTGCGAACCGCTCCAGGGAGAGCTGTAGATCACGTCCTGATGAAGCCAATAGAATCACATCATCAGCGAATAACAGAGATGCAATCCTAATGCCACCAAGACAGATCCCTTCAACACCTTTGCTGCACCTAGAAATTCTGTCCATAAACGTTATGAAAAGAATTGGTAACAAAGGACAAAGATGGAGTCCAACCCTCACTGCAAACGAGTCCCACTTACTGCCGGTAATGCGGACCAGACTCTGACACCGGTCGTACAGGGACCTAACAGCCCTTGTTTAAGGGCCCGGTACTCCATACTCCCGGAGTACCCCCCACAGGGCCCCCCGAGCGACACGTATGAATGCCTTCTCCAACATTGTTGTAGCCAACATTTGAAAGCAGAATGTTTTCAAGATGACTTGGATAATAGCCACCAGATACAGCACTGAGACTTGATCAACAACTGATACCGCATTTTGACGTCAAACCAGTAGGTGGCAGTAGTGTTCTTTGACAAACATGGATGCCTCCAGTCAAGCACATTCAAATGAATATTACTCTGAATTAAAATCACTTATTTATTGAAGTATGTAATAATTTCATTTTTAAAGTAATTTTAGAATTTAAAATTATGAATATGAGCGGACTTTTCCTTGAAATTACTTCTGTGACCATTGTGCGTTTTTCTTTCATTAAATTATTTAATTGTTCTGACCATTTGCAAAGCAGAGTGCTGTACGGTGGTTTAATCAAAACAGAAAGAGCACATGTATGTGCGTTTATTTTATTAATTGTCCAAAAGCCCCATTGTTTGCTCGTTTTTCTGTTTTGCCAATTTTTTTTTAACTAGTCAGGGGAGCTTAGGAGGGTGGGTTTATTTTTAGTCTGAAATTAACTGGGACTCTTTTCGTTTGACGTGTTGTCCCTGGGGCTTGACACAGGCCTGCTGCAACATCCGACAAAACTTTCTTCTTGCGAAATCATTCCATTAAGCTGCACAGCCTCTGCAACTGCACCACACTTTGCTTGAGGCTAATGTCCACATCGATATGAATGACTTCTTAGTGGTGTCTGCACAGCAGACACAGCGTATGCAGTGTAAGCCCGGTGTAATGATGTATCACCATGTTTATTTCAGGAAAAGTTCATGAAAATGTCCAGTCTGAAATATTTGTTCCAAGTCCCTTTGCTCTCTTTTAGAATATTCTCCTCTCAAGGCTTAGCTTGTTTTATTTACCTGTTTTATTTGCTTAGAATTCCAGCAGCAAGCTGATCCTGTTTACAACATCTCATAAAGAAGGAGGAAAATGTTAAGCACATTGCTGTTTTGCAGAATAGACTGAATTTCTCTATAATCAATATATAATCAAATTGTCACTGTGATTATCTCCACCAATCATTTTCGTTAACTTAGTTCAATTAGGTGCATATTTCACTTTTACATTTTGCAAAGGTTGACAACCTGTGTGAGCTTAGATTGCACTCTCCAACTCTGGTCATATTCAGAATTCAAAATTACTTTAAATATACTTTAAATACTTTATTGGAGACATCTATGTTTGTCAAAGAACACTACTGCCACCTACTGGTTAGTGACGTCACGGTGCGGTATCGGCTGTTGATCAAGTCCCAGTGCTGTATCTGGTGTTTGTCACAACGCGCTATTATCCAAGTCATCTTGAAAACATTCTTCTTCCAAATGTTGGCTACATATTACGTGTTTTTTCTCTGGCCAGAAGTTCAATGGCAAATCCTCCCTCTTCAAGTTGACGATCCAACGACCAACCCGTCCGTGGAGGATCAGGAATCAGAAAGGTGAAATAATTGCATGCAACTACATGCTTCTTCCCATGGGCAACTGCCATGCATGACAAATATTTTCATTTTTTTACTGATTAACGCTACATTAATTAAATCACAGCGAACATATTAGTTTTAGGTATAGATAATGAATGATCCATTGATCATTCCTTGACCGGTGTTTTCCTTTAAAACGACCCTGGAGAGATTTGTTGCTGATTATGCATAAGCTGAGACTCTAGTCCATGCATTTGTTACTTCAAGGCTGGACTATTGTAATTCTTTACTATCAGGAAGTCCACAAACTGTAGTTAAAAGCCTTCAGCTGATCCAAAATGCTGCAGCCAGAGTTCTGATGAAAATGAAAAAGAGAGATCACATCTCTCCTATCCTGGCTTCCCTTCATTGGCTTCCTGTTAAATCCAGAATAGAATTTAAAATCCTCCTTCTCACATATAAAGCCTTAAATGGCCAAGCTCCATCTGATATCAGAGATCTGATTGTTCCTTATGTTCCTAACAGAGCACTTCACTCTCAATCTGCAGGTTTACTAATGGTTCCTAGAATTTCTAAAAATAGAATGGGAGGCAGCTCCAATTCACATCATGTTATCTCAAGGAACTTTCCAGTTCACCAGATCATCCAGTCTGATTGATTCAAAGTTTTCTATCTAAGGAAAACCAGTTGATTGCATCGACTCATTGACTCGAACGCAATCCCTCACGCTAAGCATGCTTGTAGCGACAGTGGAGAGGAAAAACTCCCTTTTAACAGGAAGAAACCTCCAGTAGAACCAGGCTCAGTGTGAGTGGCCATCTGCTGAGACCGACTGGGGTTCAAGGAGACAGAAGCAGAGATACAAAAAGCAACTGTAAAAGGCGGCCCTGTCCAGAAAACACGCAACCAGGCAGACGGGTTTCAAAGCTGTTAACCGCCATTTGATATTTTTAACCCCTGGTCATCTATAGTTATTTATACAGTGAAAGATTTATTCATTCAGAGACAGATCCAGCGCTTTTTGGTGGAGGACAGAAACAGGAGGAGACAGAGACAATGTCTTTTAGTTGGTGATTAATAACTCTGTTGATAACCATGATTTAAATGACTAAATTAGTCAAAGCCAACCTGATTTTAACAGTCGATTTGGAAGTCCAACCTTGGAACCCTGGTTTAATCATTTAACTAATGGTCATTAACTGGTTTTACCCTTGAATTGAATGACCTCTTAATTAACAAAACTCTCTGGCTCTAGTTATTTAATAGTATTTTCATAATCTGCTGGTAAACTTGCAAAACACCACTAACCAGAACGGTCAAATACTGATATGTGATTTTTCCCCATCTTATGTCTGCCAGCTCAGAGCTAATCAACATAACACGTTATTTTTTCAAATAAGCCAAACAGGTATTGATCCCTAATCACTGTTATTAAATTCTAAAATATGTTTTGAAATGATTAACTTATTTAATTTATGATCATTTAGCTAGAATGGCGTTGAATGAACACCCTTCTGTTTAGTTCTTATTTTAAGTGGTTTGATAAATTTTGGTGGCTTGAGCTAACGTATACACCTAGTCTATTTTGGGCAAAGCTCCGCAGCAACTTGGTGGCGATTTCATAAGTCAGACAGTAAGAGAGACACTGAATCTAATCATCCTATGCATAATATGAACCTCTTTATGCACCTTTCTAGCAGGAGACTGGTTTCTTTATGGAAGCCAGTCTCCTGGTTTCTTTATGGAAGCCAGTCTCCTGCTAGCTTACCGAGTCGAATACAAGTGCTGTGGGCCGTGTAATGATCTTGGTTCTGTTGGTTTTTCTCTAAGTTTTCAGTTTCAAGTTCATCCAGGTTTTTCCTTGTTTTCTAGCTTTATTGGTGTCTGGATTCATTTAAGTTGCTTAGGTTTTTCTGCCTGTCCTCTGTTGCCCCCTTGTGTTTTATTTTCCCTTGGCTTCCTCATCAGCTCTACTCACACCTGCTCCTTATCAGCTCATTAGTCCTACTTTTGTTCAGTCAGCCATAAATACACTCCCTCTGCAGTCCCTCTTGGCTGGTTCCTCGTCTTACCTTTTCTCACCCTGGCTCCTTGATGGTTTTCCCTTGATGTCTCCATGGTTCTGGTTTGTGTCTTATTTTTTTTATGTAGGATTTTTGGATTCCTGTTTTTGCTGCCTGATCTTTAATTAAACCTTTTAAGAGCTCACCTCTGCCTGTCAGCCTCTGCACTTGGGTCCTCATAAAAACATAAATACTGAAGCGTGGTCTGCGCTATGTTATTCCACACCACAATGCAAGAGGGCCAATCAGGAACTAGCTGTGGGTCTAGATACGGCCGAGGCGGTGAGGGAGTGGGGGATCCAGGTGCGAAAAGGGTCCCAGCGTTCTCGCGCACCTCGCTCTTCTAGCTGCTCCATCTTCACCAGTCGTTTTCCACAATAGCGGTCATACAAACAAAACAAGCCGGTACCAAACAGGAAATACGCACTGTGTAGAGCGGATGTAGATTTGACCAATCAGAGGACTCCTATCTACGGCACTGTCTGCAATCGCCTACAATTTTGGAGAGGTGCAGCAGAGTGTCTGTGGAAGGGGCGGGGGACGTCTCAGACAACCTGGTTTCGAAGTATAAATCAGCCTTCAGGAGTAATACGCGGGTACCTCACAGCTAAGGATGAACTACCACTTTACACTGCTAATTAGGATAATTAAATATGACATTTAAATTGCATTTATTCCAGTTTCACCTTGCATATTTGTCTCTTAGAAGAACATGGCTGATTCAGTCCAGTCCTTTTTTAAACAGCCTGACATACTGAGTAACCGGGCCAAAGGGCATTTTGCAACCAAACATTACTTCTGCGTTTAGCCAAACCCTCAGGGTGTCTCCCTCTGTTGGCAGCACAAAGGCACAGCTGTGTCGTTCTGTTTGTGTTTACTTTTCCAAATATATGCTATGGGGGATAGGTTTGGGACTAAGGTGTGAAGTGAGTTACGGTTAGGTATGCATTGGTAAAGGGTAGGGTCTCTGTTGAGCTGTAATAATACAGAGGAAATTAATGAAAGTAAATGCAAAGTCCCCATAAGAATGGCAAAACACAACATGTGTGCTCCTGTTTTTTATGTTTTTAACATCAAACTGAGTATTTGTACCAAAGTGAGGACAGTTAGCACAGTTAGGAAGAAGGCATGAATTGAGTTTATCTTAGATTTAGGTATGCACTGATAATGCTTAGGTTTAAGGTTGTTCTCAGGTTAAGTGCAGAGAAAGGGTAAAAAAAAAAGACTTTTAAAAACAATAAAAGTCAATGTGGGGTCGACACAATGTCCTCACTACAGATAGGTAAGATGAGAACGAGTGTGTGTGACGCTCACTGGAGGTGCAGTTGACTCCATAGCGTCCCGGCTCGCAATCCTCACAGGCGGTGCCATGGAAACCCTCATAGCAACGGCACTCCCCGTTGCCTTGGATACCGTCCTGGCATTGCCCATGATTGAAGCATGGGCTGCCATCTGCTCCGGGGCATTTGAAGCACTCGTGGCCGTAGAAACCAGGACAACACCTGTGCTCCTGTGGGACAGAAATAGAAAGATTCAATGTTTTTGTTGTTTTCTTTTTGCAATATGAATTTATTTTTATGATGTTTATATTTCAGTCTTAAAGTCAGCGCTTGATTAAAGTCGTCTATTTAAAAAAAAATAAAAATCCACACTTAAAATCTGTGGGGGGGGGTTTTCAGCCAGCTAATTATACGTCAGCCTGAACACTTAAATTCAGCCAATCATATATCAAAGGTCATCTCTCAATTAAATTTTTTCGGTCATAGCATGTGATTGATACGTAGCAGCTAGTATACGCAACGGTTGAAATCAGAATTTTCGCAGAGCAGTGGTGACCATTACAGGTGTATAGTTGGAGAGCAAGTTGTTTGCCGTTTCTCAATTCACAAGAACATAGTGGACTCGTGTCCTCGCCAAGTATTTTCTTGAGAAGAACAAAGAAAGGTCTGAACTTGGGGAGAACGGGAGCACGCAGAGTAAATATGGGTCAATTGGAACAGAGGCCTACTGATGACATCATCACACGCTCAGTTCGTCTGGAGCAGCATTTCACCTCCTGTTGTTAATAGTCTCTCGATGATATTAAATTCTGACTTTTTTCGTCTAGTCGGGGAATAATAATTAACACAGTCAGATAAAAACAAATCAAATGAACATTTTGCCAAATAAAACAAAAACATCGCCATCATAGCCAGCGGTATTTCGCACGTGGCTATGCAGAGAGAGGGCTGCTGCAGACGGGCTAACGTTAGCCCTGGCTGCCGTTGGCCTCAGAGCTCCGCCGGTTGTCGCGGCCCTTTTTAAAAAAAGTTAATGGGCCATATAGTGACGCTTGAAAGTATAGTGTTCTCGTCTCAAATGATCTTAAAACATTTTTTTATTAACCAACAGCAACAGAAAAGAGAACTTTAAACGTAATACTCTGAGCCCTGTGAGCATTCCATTGAAAGGAGACGGAGGAGACTCATCCACGACCTCCGACACTAAACTCTCCTCCTCTTGCATGTTTCCTCTGTCCATAGCGTTCCTTGACAGCGTCGTTTCTAAGTCACTAATTTAGTGCTACTTGGTCCCAATGGAATTTCCCACTGGGAACCTACTAGCACTAAGTTGCTAACTGGTTAGCAAGATGCTTCCGACAAATCGGCCACAACCAAACTTGCTTGCGAACCTTCAGCCACAATGATCCCGCCCCTTTCATAAACGACCAATCACATTCACTTTATTCACTTGTGTAAAGTCAGGCACCACTCGGGAGAATTCGGAAATGCAACGTTTGGAACAGCCGCTTCCCTACGACTATTAATTTGGTTTAAAAAATATTACTTAGAAACATTTTTAACATCTATGACCCTTATATGGTATTGAACAGTCTGTTCACAACCTCCAGAGGAACTAGGGGAAAGACCGGATTGGGGGGAACGCCCCTGGGAACCAGCCCCTGGATGTAAGCACTTCCAGACCAAAATTCTTCAAAAAACATGCAATGCAGAAGGCCCTGACCTGGGCCAAACTGGTCCCGGCTCCATGGGAGCATCTTGGTGCCACAGCTTTTCCACTTTTGTACTTAATAAGAGTCAAACTAAATTGCAGATGCCATCGAATCCTTAAAGGTTGTTCTGGAACTCAGAAAACTGAAAAATAAACACTGAAATGTAAAGCAATGTCTAAGAGCCTTTACTGATCCAGTAGGTTGGAAGATTATATAGCTGTGAACGAAGCAGATGTTGTTTCTGAGTAATTGGTAAATAATTTAATCCCTTATTTAGTTGTCTCTTTTTGCCTAGAAATGACAAAATACATGATAAAACAACCAGTTTAGAGAAGACTGAACACGGTGGTCAGTAAACTCTTGATTTTATGCAACAGACACAACTCACTACTTCATGCCAGATCCACGGTTGATCTAATCTAGAGCTTTCAAATCTAGAGTTGTAGCGGTTGTTGGATGCAGAACAGAAGCAGACGGAGCAGCACAGAGGGTAACCGTACTCTGGCAGTATTACTGTTAGCTCACCTTCGTGACACGAAGACAATTGATGAGGCAGCCTGGTACAGATTTCCTCCGGCCCCCGACCCGCTTCCGGTAAAAACAGTTGGACCTCATTTTAGCAGGAAACCGCTCATTGATCTGAAGCAGAAACCAGAATTAATAGTTGAGACAGAGTAACTATGGTTAAAAATAAGGTTGAAGGCATATTTCCAACAAGCAAAGCTTATTTTAAAGTGAAAAGATGCTTTTTATTCTGCTAACTTCTGCTTTTAAAAAGCTTCTGCTTTTAAAATCTGCTTTTTTGGTGATAATCTGAGGCTGACGATTAGCTCTCTGAGATTATATGCTGTAGTTTCACGATACGGGGGTAACACCACATAATCCAGTTCTGTTGATCTTGCCACACAGTGATCCATCAGTGATCAGATTATCATACAGCACCTACTGAGCTCAGGCTGAATGAACCAAAACAGCTCTCCTGCTGGACTGTACCACACTTACTGGCTTATACACGTAGTAGCACAGAGGAGGTCCTTCGCAGTCTGTACACCTTCCCTGGAGAAACAGGTACAGACAGACTAGGATTATTTTAGGATTTAACATCAAAACATTTACAGTATTGATTTGCAGCAAATTTTCTCCTTTTTACTGTGTTACTGCTCTACCAAAGCAGCTGTGTTAGGTTTATTCAATGATGATTATAAAGTAATGTATGTGTGCTTATGAAACATTTGAGCAAGGGGATGCTCCACTCTGTCTTGTGACTCAGTCAGGAGACCACCCTGCCTTGTGATTCTGGTGGGGCATCCTGTCTTTAAGAACTGATCAATTGTTCTGTCAGAACAAATACTGTTTTGTAACCATGTGTTATGTTCTGTTAATAAAAGACGGCTGCAGGAGGGGAGTTGGAGGAAAAAAGCTGGAAGTTGGGTTGGGCTTTTTTTTCCACTCCTGCAGGAGCTGTTGTTTGAAAATCCCTTACTGTGTATTTCAGTTCTTCTTTTACAAACCTACATTTTTTTAACCCAACAAGCTGTTAAAGAACAACTGTCAAACCTTCTTGTATTCACGTCAACAACGGTCCTTTCGCCTTTCATCACTAATGGCTCCAGCTTCCATACTTACTTTGATCTGGGTTTTGACCTGCCTGCTGCACCTGTTGCGTCTGACTCTAAGGACCTGTGGGAGGACGTGAATGATGCCGTATTGCGTGTCAATGACGCTGCCGTTAAGATGAACGTCGTTTACAGCAGTCTGCATGAGGAGGAAAGGGAAACGAGTCAGCTTTTTAGAGGAAGATCTGCATAATCTCTAAAGGAGCTTTGAAACAAGAAAGGGAACATGTGTTCAATGTCATACAGAGAATTGCAAATGTATTAACACTCCTTACACGTCTCCATTTAAAAAAAGCTAATCCTAAATGCTTTTATTTCCTTTTCATAACCAGGCTATACATAAAAATGCATAAATACTTTTTTTTGCAAATCTCCCTGAAACTGAAGGTTTTATGAACATCCCTGGTACTGGACGGTGTTAAAATGAGGAAGTTATGACCCCTAAAAAAGCCTTGGCGGCTTCCTCAAGGTTCTTTTCCTGGGAGCAAGTTAAACTGGGTAAAACCATATAAAAAGGACTATAAAACAGGAGTAAAAAATAACAGAGTTTATTCCAGATCAGGTTGTTACAGGACAGAGAAAATGCTTGGAGCTTGAACAGCTGTGGGCTCAAAAATCACGTCCGCGAGCGTCCGGCAAAGATTGAGCCCCGAACAAGGTCATCACCTACTTCTTATAGCTCATGAGTCTATGTGTTGCATCATGTTGATGTTTAGCTGTCCGTATCAAAAACTGACACGCCATCCATGTCTTGAACTTCATGCAGCTTTCTTCTACGCCTCAGGGTTACAGATAGCTCTCCTCTATCAGACCGGCTCCAAGATGTCCCATATCCTGTTTACTCTAAAGACACGAAGGCTGTCCTGATTAGATGACCTCCATACACACAGTGACATCCACCATGTGAAAGAAGGCCTTCTACTCTGTCTAATCTGGCTAACAGAATAACAATGCACATGATGTATAAATAATAAACCAAACAACGGCGTCACAGAGTAGCAGTTAGAGCAGGTGCCCCCAGTCATCCTCTGCAGCTCCTCGTGGAGCATGAAGTCCAATAAACAAAACGTATAACTCCCAGTGGGATCTTCTCACAAAGGAGCATTCAAACCCATCATGATAAGAGGTCTGAGAATCATCAGCTGAATCTTTAGAAAATGGAACGTGTGATCCTCTGGGATCCAGCCGCTGGGAAGCACCGTTCCTGAATATGTAGGATTCTGAACCAATCAGAATAATAAATACTTTTTCTTCACTGAATCCATTTTATACAGGTTCCAAACCAGAGGAAAATCGGGATCTGTTACTAGGCATTGACTCAAGTTATTCTTATCGACTCACACCTGGCAGGCAGGAAGGAGCTTCAGGTTCACACTGCAGAATGAAGAGACCCAAATCCGGGTTTTTTTTTTTGCCCATATGCGACCTGGATCTGATCTTTTTATGACAGTCTGGACAACAAAGAACCGATTTTTTTCCAATCCGACCCAGGCTACTTGACTTATGTGGCCCTGAATTCTATACGAATCTGATCTTTTTAAATCCTCATTCATCTGACCTAAACGACATTAATACCCGATATAGGTCACTAATATGCGTCCTGCTACGCAGAAGCAGCAAGAAAAACAACAACCATGGCAGAGAATGATGCAGGCAGCAGTATTTATGTTCAACCATATTGAAAAGATTGTGTTTTTAAGGTTGGGAAAGATTGCTAGATGCGCTCCAGGGCTCCCATCCATGTTTAGTTCTGTAAACACAGAGCACGATGGCTTGTGATGTCATTGCATCCTCTACTGCGCATGCGGGACACTTAAGTTGTATAAATGCAGTTCACACAGGAGATCACGTACATCGTCGCATATATTTGGAAATGTGAACAGCAACACAAAAAATTCGTAAGTAAGCATCAAGGCCTGCAGTTTGAACTTAGCTTCAGATACTACAGGCACCACAACCTGTTTCCAGTACCTGGTTGTCTGCTGTTAGGTGGAACTGGACCTCGTAGTCCTCGCCCAGCAGAGTGGCTTTGAACATGCCGTCATGGAGTTGGTCGAGTGACAGCACCTCTTTAGGAATCACATGGTACAGAAACGTGTCCGAGTCCTGGACAGCAGACAAGAAGGTAAACACAGCGGATGATTTGAGGAAAGAGAGGATGTTTGCTGGTCGCAGGTCAATATTTACATCTTTGATCTTTAATTTAGTTTTTTTTCCATTCCAAATCTAACAAGATTTTTTAATAAAAAGTGACCCAAACTAAACAATCAGTTTTAAGCTGTGAAAACACTGTACAGGGTTCCTACAGCATAAGGCAAGTTAAATTCAAGAATTTTTAAGACTTTTTAATGCCACTTGAAATAAAAATTTAAGACCAAATTGACAAGAAACACAAGAAAAACCTGCTTGCTACAACTTAACCCAAAGGTTTATTTGAACATAAACCACTGCACTAATGTTTCAGATTTTGAAAAGCTTCCCATACAGGAAGAAAGCTAAAAACACACAAATGACAGATATATTTTAACAATTATTTAACTGAATTCACAAACTTTGTTTTGGCAGGAAACAAAACAAATCAGTTTTAATGGAACAAGACAATTTACTTTTAAAATAAGAAAACACAATTGCATTGTCTTATTTCAAGTGAATATTACCTAATTATGTTATTTTAAGACTAAAAATACTCATTCCATTAGCAAATTATCTTATTTACTTACTCAAATTAATGGTAAACAAACTTAATTTAAGACATTTTTCTCATTTTTAGATGTTTTTTGCAGTGTCCACAACGTACCATCAGGCTTAAAGTTGGCTCGATCGAAAAATTCTTGCACGACTGAAAAATCGGCCCAAAAAGGGCAAAAAAAATTGTACAGTGTATGCCCAGCTTTAGCTACCCAATGTTGGGTTTTCGGTGTAACTAAATCTCAAAGGATCTTTTAAGGATTTATTATTTGTTTCTTCTCCAAATTATTTTTCAGATATAAAGGATTTGCAGAACCGGATCATGAACCCACCAGAACTGACGAGTTTGTCTTGCTGAGGTGGTTCCTGATCACGTCATCGGTTGGCAGAAAGAGCGTAAATATCCGTTGATCCAGGTGCCCAGACAGGTTGTACATCTGTGAGAAAGCAAAAATAAAATAAGAGCACTAAGACAGATGAGAAGTTCGAAACATTAAAGAGACTCTGAGACAATCTCACCAGAGCGTACTGTCTGAAGAGAGAGAAGCTGGATGAGGCGTTCAGGAACGCCATCACAGTGGGAGGTTCAGGTGGAAGGTCTGAGCGGGACGGGGTCAGAACCTGACACCACAGACAGGTGAGAAAAAACATCAAGATGAAGTCAGACAAATATGAACGGCTCTTATCAAATTAATAGTTTGCATAGAATAGAAGAAGGTGGCTGAACTACATGAGGATCAGTTTCCTAATCAGTCTTCATTTTCTCTTTGGTGCAATAAATGAAAAAATGAAAAAACAGATGACCGGACTTTTCCCTTAAACCCAAAAGTTAAAAAACTTTCATATTCAGAATACAATCTTCTGAAAGTACTTTAACTATGAAATTGTGCCATACTCTTCAATAACTGAGTGTTTTTAACTAATACTGCGTAATGCTACTAATGCTGCGTTCACACCGGACGCAGCAGGAGCAGCAAAATCACGTCTGCTGCTTCCTTTTTGCTGCTTGTACCAGTTTAGTTCTGACGCGCGTCTGAAGCAGCTTTGCTGCTCTGGCTGCGCGGTTGAAAAGTGGCTCTGACGCGTGTTGGGCAGAGCTACTCTATCCTTTATTTGCCTTGCAGCTATATTTGCTGTGATCAGTGGGAATAAAGTAGTTTTAATATGTTTTTAAGTGGGAAAATCCACCTGAAAACTTAATCAGCGCAGTCAGTTCATCCAGATTACCATCCTGCCTTCCGATTTTATTTCTGTCGGAGCCGCTCAGACCCCCACATACCAGCGGTGCGCTGTCAGTAGGAATCAGCGGCTGGAAGGCGGTTTTCATTTACGTAATCCAAACTGCAGGCAGCAGGATAAGAAAAGCAAACATATTCTGCCAGCAGGTTTCAGCATTTTAAGTTAATTTAGGCGTCAATAAACTGTTTCAGAGGAGTGATCATAGCGCTCTGTATCATCAGCGATGTGTTTGTCTCCCTGCCAGCTCCCAGATCAGCTTCTCTGATTGGTTGACGCGGCGCGTTGAGCAGCAAAAGTTAAATATTTCCATCTCGAGACTTGAATGTGTTTTACTGGAGGCATCCATGTTTGTCAAAGAACACTACTGCCACCTACTGGTTTGTGACATCACGGTGCGGTATCGGCTGTTGATCAAGTCCCAGTGCTGTATCTGGTGTTTGTCACAACGCGCTATTATCCAAGTCATCTTGAAAACATTCTTCTTCCAAATGTTGGCTACATATTACGTGTTTTTTCTCTGGCCAGAGGTTCGATGGCAAATCCTCCCTCTTCAAGTTGGCGATCCAACGACCAACCCGTCCGTGGAGGATCAGGAATCAGAAAGGTGGAATAATTCTTCTTTTTCACTTACTCCAGCTGCCATGCACGTGGGCATTGTCAGTTTCACTATAGCTCTGGTGAATTTCAATGGTGAAGTCCTCTGGAAATCTTCAATAATTGTTGTTGATTGCAGATGTTTCTAGTAGTTCCCATTGATTTAGCTTGTAAAGCGGGGAGAATGGCGCTAGGCTTACCGCACAGTGACGTCATTACCAGAAGATGGCAGAAGGGAGGGGTTACTATATTTGGGCAAAATGGCCGCTACCAGACTCAATGATCGCGACAAAATATATAATTTTATAATATTTTTGTACTGATTAATGCTAAATTCATTAAATCATCGTATTAGTTTTAGGTATAGATAATGATCCATTGATCAGTGCTTGCTGACCGGACTTTTCCTTTAAAGCTTAATAAGAAGTGAACGTGATTGGACCAAACCAGCCGGTTTGACTCCTACCTTGTTTATGGTGTGGATGAAGCCGTTGACCGCAGGCACGTTGTGGGAAATGATGGCGGCATCTCCAATGTGGAGCACCTGGACAAAAACCAACAACCGATCAGAAAATATTTCACCATGTGCTTGGTTGTAAACTTGGGCTGAGAGGGGAAGACTTGATCAACAACCAACAATCACTGATGCAGCACTTTAATTATTTCAAAATGAAAAAGTTTTCATTTATTCAGAGCTTTTTAGTATTGGAAATAAAAACCCACTCAAATATTATTGCAGATATTAAACTTGCAAGGAAGCAAGGAAGATGCATATATATGCATATATTTTTATATATATATATATATATATATATATATATATATATATATATATATATATATATATATATATATATATATATATATATATATATATGTTTTATATATTTTTTTTATTTGTTCTTTTTAATTATTTTTTTATTTTATTTATTTTTTAAATTTTAAATTTTTTTTTATTTTACAGGCATTTGGTGAGTTTACTTTCCAATATAATGATAAAAACATGAAATAAAGTCATTCCATTATAAATGTTACCATTAATGCATTGAACTTGAATATTCTCAAACAGGGACTCCATATTTAATGTGTAGTTTTTCCAGACCAAGCTCTTCTGGTGAGCTGCTCCTCAGAGGTGGCTCCTAATCAGGGCCTTAGCTACCATTGAGGATAGCAAGTTCATGTCCTCTGTATTTGTTTCAATTTATATTTTGCCTAAATTGTGATATATAAACTAAAAATAAATCACTAAAGGATCAAATTACACTGAAACTGTAATTTATTTAATCGATGATCTTGGTCTCACACAAAACTGGGTGTTTTATATCTGAAGAGTGGCGCGACTGTTTAATAAAACAGTGCAGCCATTTGGTCAATATGCACTGTTGCTATGGTAACGGACCACAACACAGCAAAAAAGCACAGAGCAGCACATGGGGGGACATGAAGTTGCAGAAACAAAATAAATCATATAGTTAAAAAAATTATTCATTATTCAAAATTATAATAATAATATTAAAACATATTCTGTAATAACTTGCCCTTACTTCAAAAGTCACCATAATGGTCTTAAAAAAAAAAAAAAGCCTCAAAGTGCCATATGTATTTACAAGCGTTGTGATGTTGTAAACTCCTTTATTTAGTTATTTGTTTAAATGTGCATATTTTATATTGTTTATTCAATATTTGTACTGTTAGGACAATTCTGCTTCATTCTATCCCTATTCTCCTACTCTGCAGAATCTGTTAGTTCAATCTCTAACCTTCTGTTCTCTCTGTTTTTTCTCATAGTAGCTTCATCTGGTCTGTTCCTGTTTGGCTGTGACTCCATCCTGGAGAGAAATATCAGCTGTGCTGCTGCCATCAACACCTTTGTTTTTAGATGCTGGAGATCGGTCTGTTTTCCTTTTCCAGTGTAGTCCTGTTTCTCTGACCGTGACTAACTGGATGTGCTCTCTTCATCCTCGGACATGGAAGCTGGCTCGGAGCTCGTCTGCCTGGCTGTGTGTTTCCTGGACTTTTAGAGCTGTTTTTTGTATCTCTGTTTCTTTTTCTATGTCTGCTTCTGTCTCCTTGAACCCCAGTCAGCCTCAGCAGATGGCCGATTAATAAAACTCACTGAAATATGATGTTGAAAGCGTATTGTTTTCTTTTCTATCAGCTCAGTTTTTGACTGTTGATATTCTTCACTAAAGGGAAAACAGGAGGAGGAGGAAAAGGCCGAGTCAAACCGAGCTCCTCTTTGGGCCGAGCTGCAGGAGGAGCATTGAGGAGAGAGAAAGAGGGAGAGCAGGAACTAGAAAAGGAAGATACGGTGCTGGAACTTCATATGTTTTAAAAGTCAAATATTTACTGCATGATACTTCAAGTATTGGGTAATATAATAACAGAAATATGTTAAAAGGCTGGTTATCCTTAACAAGAGCGAACAGATTAGGCACCATCATCAACATACCATTGTAATAGATTGTAATAGAGATTGATGTCTATAATAATGAAGTAAATATGAAGCAACTAATTCCACTTATACTGGAATGTCTTTTGTTGCACATTTCTAACCATCAATAGACAAAAGCTTCAAAAGAAAGATGACATCAAAAAAGTTTACAAGTTTATAATGCCTGAAATGTCATGCAGGGAAAGAGGAACAAAGAAAAGTACCGACTAGCCTGTTCAAAAGTCACAATGGTGTTTGTTGTGCTCCTTTAGACTCTAAAGATGGCCAGATTTAAATAATGGAATTAAAAACATGTGAGGCACAGAGCTGAACCCACCTAGAAGTGACTGACCCTTGACCTCAGTATTTTTTGGGCCTTGCTCCTAAGTTTGCTGTGAGTCAACGTTCTTACCCCGCTGACGTTGCTGATCTCCCACTCGGTGGAGGAGTCCAGAGTGGGCACCTTGTGTCCCACCAGACCCTCCAGGTCCTCCAAAGAGTAAACTCCCCTTAGGAAGTGGGCCCTGAAACCATGACAACCAGGATAAACAAACAAATAAGACTGACTTATCACCTATTAACTCTTTTACAAGGAACCTTTAACAGATGTCAAGAGGAAATGGGAGGAGGAACTGGCTACGAACTTTTCTGAAGACATATAGTAATCCATACTAAATAACATTCATGCATCCTCCATCTGCTTGAGGCAAAGAGTCATTCAGTTCAAAGTTGTTCATAGATTACATTGGTCCAAAGTGAGACTGTCCAAAATTAAACAAGTGTGATTGATGTGGAGTGGAACTGGGCACCTTATCACACATATTCTGGCTCTGTTCTAAATTGAAAAACTTCTGGGAGCCCATTTTCAAATTTCTCTCTGACTCTTTTGGTATTAGCATTAAACCTGAGGCCACGATATTTGGAATATCATTGCATTAAATTTTCATCACAAAATTAAAAATGTAATTTATTTTGCCACACTAGAAGACAAATTTTGTTTAAATGGAAAGACACACACCCGCCAACCTTTAAGTTATGGCCGGTTGATCTTATGCATCATTTGACATTAGAGAAAATGAGATTCTCTACAAGATGGTGTTTTGATTTGGTTCTGTTCTGTGTATTTTAGTTGATACTCTTAGTCAGCGGTGCCAAGTGTCTCAGTATAAATACCTAATAAATCTACTTAAGTCCTTTTTTTTATAATAACCTGTACGTAACCTTTTTCAGATAACTTTTTACTTTTATTCCCTATTTTTGAACACAAAAGTTTTTTATCCTCGACGACTAATTTTTGCAAAAGTAGTTAATTGCTTCAGGTCCAGTAACATTCCTGTATAACACATTACTCTGTATAGTTTGTCCTTTTTCCAAACCTACTTTTGACAGAGGTGGTTTTATGCTACCAGAACCCTGCCTGTCTCTAGTTCTACAAGAGAACAAGATATGCTTCTGTCCTTCCCACAGATTAAAAGGTTCTAACCCAGAGATCATTTATTCCTAATCCAATTTTGTAGGCCAACTTTCTAAGAAAAAAAAAAACAGTTAATATAAAGATAAAAAGTTTAAAGTCATGCGTGTGGATTCCTGACCGCAGTAAGTGAGGCAGGCGGTGCCGGCTGGTCCAGAAAAATATGTCGGTCATGCTCAGGTTCCCAAAGGCTCTTAATGAAGGAGACAAGACGGTGAGGTTCCCGCTAAGATCCCCCTGAGCCTCTTTACACCTCTGAAATCAAACACAACAATCTGAAGTAGTAGAAACACAGCTTGGTTGACCATATCTCTGACACAAAAGGTTTGATATGGAAAAAAAAAAAAAAAGAAGAAAAAAAGAGAAAAAGGCAGCATGGTGTATTCCCACACAACTCTTTACCACTCACTGATATTATGGAGGAACAATCCTGCCATAATCAAAAATAAATACAGTAATAAATAGATACTCAATAAATAAGTAAGCATACAATTAATTGCCCCCAAAATACAATAAAATTTATAAATGTAGGTAGCAATTTAATTATACAGTGAGACATAAATGTATATATCTCTTTTAATTAGCTTTTTTATTTATTCGCTTTTGTAATAATTACCTTATAATTAATTGCCTTATAATTACCTTATTTATTTGCATAATGAGGCAGAAATGCAGACAGAAATGTAAATACGACAGGCAGAAATAAATAGCATGGAAGAAATAAATAGGGTAACAAATACAAAGAAAGGATAATACAGACAATAAGTAAATACTTAAAAAAATAAGTAATAAATAGATAAAGTTGAAGATTATTACAGACAATAAATAAATAAGGTAATTATTACAAAGGTGAAAAAAAGAAGCTAATTAAAAGAGATATACATTTATGTGTCACTGTATAATTTTATTTCTACCTACATTTATTTATTTATTCATTGTATTTTTGAGGGGCAATTATTGCATTCTTATTTATTTTTGGAGCATTTATGTATTTATTTTTAATTTTGGCAGGATTGGTCCTCCATATATTATGCTCTATGATGTATTTTAAATATTCACCTTTTTAGGGTTTTAGGTTCCATTGAATTAAAGACGGAAGAGCTTTAAACACCTTCTGTGATTCTTTTCAAGGTGTTTCATAGGTACAGTCCAGGTATATCTGACCTGGAAATGCTAAAAAGGCTAGATTCTTCAGTATTTATAACTTCTTACTTCAGATGACACTGAGCTTCAGAACAAAACACAGCGGACTGCTGTGTTTTTTCTTCTTTCCTATGCGAGTGCACCACACTGGTGTCATTGAAATTGTCCCCAGAGGAGGCTAACCTTCCATGAAAGCTAAATTCTTGCTGCTTCTATCAGATTATCTTAGCCTTATTCTAGGATTTTCTAACTAAAAGATGAACAGCCAGAGCGTAAGACTTAAGTTGTTGTGGTTTCTCACTGTCTCTGCTGCTATTTCATTTGTTACTATGATTGGCTAGAAGCAAACTTTGGTAGGCGGGCACTAGGTATTGCTTTGCCCAATCAGCTCAGAAGGATCTTCTTAATGTCTTTCATTCCCTGGACCAGATTTGATCAGAGCAGCCCATGGTTAATAATGTGTAGAAAAAAAACTGAGTGCTTAACCTGGCAAGCCAGACTAATAAGGAGCAACTTTGGCTATGCTCTTTTAAACTGAGCTACCCCACATTTCAAACCTAAAATCACCAAAGTTTACACGGGTCACAAGAATTGGACAGTAAACATTTAATTCTTCTTTTACAGAGAAAATACTACCTGTTAAATATGTATGGTGCCTCTTACAGAAAATATCCTAACAGATTGCAAATAAATACAGTTTTCTGTCAATCAATTTTTGCCAAAACTCAGAGTTTTTTTTGTCAGACTCGGAAGTTGTAATATCTAAACATGTTGCAAACAAAACCATCCACCAGTCCAGGAGAGCTCTCACAAATCATTCCGGTATATATCTGCTCGTCTTATTACCATGGATTATGTCATGGTCTTGGCGCTGATGAATGGCTTAATGGTCCATTCACCTGTCTATTTCTGCCCAGTTTCTCATCAATGTTCATCTGTTTCACCTGCTCCAGTCTCTATTCAACCTGCTTGCTCCTAGTCCTCAATGGCAGATTATTCAAGCCTTTGGTGAGAGTTCTCTAGCGTACCTGTTTGTGTTCTGATCGCCTGATCCTGACCTGTTCTACCTTTGGACCTCTGAGCCTGCCTGTTCCGGTTCTGAGCCGCTGGCCTGACCTGTCTTCGGACTCCTGCTGGATCCTGCCTGTGGACTGAACCTGGATCTGCTTCCTGCCTTCAACTTGGTTTTGCTTCAGTACCTCTTTGGATCTCTGATCTTCTGGCTTGGACTCCTGTTAACCTCTTCGACACCAGCTTTGGTTTCTGGATAGTTCCGCCTTCCTTTATCTGCTTGTCATCCAGTTCTGCAGTCTTCAAGGCTTCAGCGTCTTGAACTCTCTGGGCAGCATTCACTGCTTGTTGGCAACCATTCAGCTGTTTTTGGTTGCCAACAACTTCCGGGCACAGACTCTACTTTAAGACCAGGTTAGTGACTCATGCATTCATAATCATCTGCCATCAGGTTTTCGTGATCACTAATCTGAGTTTTCCCTCTGCATAGATCCCTGCCTTAGACATCCCTGGAGATTCTTAATTTTTAAGAAACACTTCTTAGAAGTACACCTGTCTGTTTGCCTTGAATTCTGGGTCCTCTGTTCTGAGCCTTGACAGATTATCACTACTTTTCAAGGTGTATTGTGGGAAATTTCTACTTTTTCATCCACTAGACGTTCAGACACTCCTCTAAAATGGCGTAACCACTATATAGTGCCCTATATTGTGATTAGGGTGGACGATCAGGACACAGCCATGGGCTCCGTGTCACACAGCAGCCATTTTTGCACATTCTTTGGCAAGTTTAATAGGTATACCTTTTAAACACAGGAAGCAAATGGCTAATCTCATTTCAGCAACTCTAAATTAAGGCATGATGATCAGAGGGTCTGGGGCCACCTGTATGCAGGGTTGTCAGTGAGACAGCATCAGAAAGGATGAAAAGGCAGTTTGGGTCATTTTGGGTACTTTTGAAGCAGCCGATCTCCTGGATTTCACATACAGCAATCTCTTCGGTTTGGATCAGAGAAGAACAGACAGACTGCTTTGAGATGTCAGAAAGGCAACAGCTGCTTTAGAAAACCACAGTTTGCAGTAGAAATTCCCCAAAGGCCACCACTCTTGTTGGCTGGGAACAGGAAACTGAGGTAAAAATTCCTCAAGCTCACCAGACCAGGACCAGAACAGATCGGAAAATCCAGATAGACATGTCAGTGAATCCATGTACATGGAAATATCTGCTTGCCCCTCAACGGGTCCCTGAATATCCCGGTTGTCGTGGTTATTGTTTTGGACAATACCTGTCTCTTTATGACTGCATTGGACCTGCAATGTTGGCCGTTTACAGCAGGACAAGCTCAAAACCTCTCAGACTGGTTTCCTTCACAGGCACCAGATATCAGTCAAGCAGAGCAGCTCCGGAATGTGGTGAAGCAAGACACTCATCACAGATATCCGACCTGCTTCTGTCCGGTCCATTCGGACTAAAATATAGGATCCAAACCGATGCAAAAAAAGGTGTACCTAATAAAGAGTGAATACGATTATATAAAATTAACCCTTGGTGTTTGAGTAATTCAGTCTCTGCCCAGTGCACAAAGTCTTATTAGGCCCAAAAAAGACTAAGTAAACACTGTCCTGGTGTTTGTTGCTTTATTTGAACAACAATCCTTTTTTATAGTCATATGTGAATATAAACATACATCTTTAAAGACTGCCCAGAGGTGGAAGCTACAGCAGAGGTCGGACCACTAACACACATAAACAGACAGTTTGAGAATCAGCTGCTGAGGAGCAAATGTGAAAGTTACGCACCAGAATTTGTTTGTTGAGGCCGAGGAACTGGAAGTGCATGTCCAGCTCCTAATAAAAAAAATAAATAAATAAAAATACAGAAAAAAAGTTATTATCAGGGTTAAGAACGGTTTAGTGAACTCTTTCTTTTTGTTTTTAGGTGTCAAATGTACAGAAGAGGATAAGGGCCAGTGGGGGAAAAAAAAAAAAAGTTAACTGATTTTTAAATTTTATTTCAGTTTAACATGGGAAAAAAGTCAGAATTCTGACTTTTTTCTCAAATTTCTGACTTTAATCTCAGAATTCTGACTTTTTTTATTGTCAGAATTCAGTCAGAATTCTGAGATTAAAGTGAGAATTCTGAGACTAAAGTCAAAATTCTGAGAAAAAAGTCCCATGGTAAACTGAAATAAAATTTAAAAATCAGTTAACTTTTTTTTTTTTTCCCCCACTGGCCCTTATCCTCTTCCGTACATTTGACACCTACAGTTGACCTTCTTTATCTCAGCTGCATCATTAGTTGCTTACATGAGAATCAAAACACATATTTAAAAAACTTTGACAACTGAATCATCTCTGAATCATTGAGGAAAACATCTATTGTGAGAACATGAAATTCACAGCAGAAGCATAAAAAGGTGCTTTTTGGGAAATATCGAAAGCACTAAAAAAGAAAAAATACTTTGACTGAACATAAATGTAATATTTGTTTTTAGAGTTCTGATCTTGACTTATTCCTTACAATTGTTCAGACGTTATAGTTTTCTATAAATAGATCTGCTATGACTGAGGTTAGCTGTGATTCTGTGCTGTAAACATTTCTGACCAGACGCTTACATCCTTTAATGTTCCGTAGCACAGTTTTCCATCCCCAAAGAAGCCGTCCAAACAGGTGCAGGTGTGCACTGCATTTTCCTTCAGCTCACATTTGGCCTGACAGACAAACAAATTTCAGTGTCAGAGTTGGGAGATGAACACGAAGCAAATGATGCAAGTAATTTAAAAATATGCAGGAAGCTGCAGGTCTAAAAACAGAAGAGCCGCAGTTGTTTCTAAATGTCCTCCTCCAAATGTAGATCACCAACTCAACATATATATATATATATATATATATATATATATATATATATATATATATATATATATATATATATATTATATTTAATCTCCAGTAAATATGAGTTGTTCTTCTATTTGGTCCAACAACAGGTTCATATGAGTTCTATGTGTTCTGACAGCTGAGGAACTTTTCACCAGAGGAACCAACAGGGAAGCTGTCTCAAGCAGCAGAGAATAAGATCAACTGAAATAAGGTAAGAATATTAATGGTTATCATTTTTTTTTTTTTTTGTATCTTCTTTGGCAAAGAAATAAAACGGGAATTAAACTTAAGCGTTTGTTCTTTTGTATGTGTTGTTTATTGCTTTATATAGTTTTGACAATAATTATAGAAAACAATATTAAAGTTTTCAACAAAAAAACACCCTGAGAGGAATAATTAGGTATACATTTACCTCTACATTTATAAGGTCTACAGATTTATCAGACTTCTTTTTATTATGAATTCAATTTATTAATTTAAGTATTGCAGTTTAATTTAGTCAGGTGCTGTATGTTAGCCAGTGATCCCCGACTTTAGGGTACTCATACCCCTAGTGGTCCATGAGAGCATAGCAAGGGGTACATGAAAATCACACTTATGTGTCATCCTTTGGCAGATATATTTTATAGACCTTTCCCACTGGCTGGAAAAACCTGTCTAAACCTGGGAACAATCGGCTTTCAGTGGTAGTAGGAACAGGTCACTGACGCATGTCTACCCGGATTAAAATCGCCTCGGCTCTGATCGGCATATTACGGTGGCTGAGAAGTGCAAAACACATTTACAATTCAAAAACACATTAACAAATAAAAAACAAAATAACATTTGAAGAAACAAAATTATATTTTGTGAAACAAATGTATTTTTGAAAAAAAAGTTTAAATTTTTAAAAACAAATTTACATTTTAGCAAACAAATTAACATTAACAAATAAACAAAATAACATTTGAAGAAACAAAATTATATTTTATGAAACAAATGTATTTTTGAAAAAAAAAGTTTAAATTTTTAAAAACACATTTACAATTCAAAAACACATTAACAAATAAAAAACAAAATAACATTTGAAGAAACAAAATTATATTTTATGAAACAATTTAGTTTTGAAAAAAAAAGTTTAAATTTTTAAAAACACATTTACATTTAAGGAAACAAATTCACATTTTAAATAAGTTAGATTTTAGGTGAGAGAAAGTTTCATTTTAGAGGAAAAAAAATACATTATAGGGAAACAAATTTACATCTAAAAAAAAATTGACCGTTCGGAAACACTTGTACAAGTGCAAAGACAAAACTGCAAGTGGCAAAACACATTTACATAGCCAAAAACAAATTAACAAAAGACGGCTACACGGAAAGGGAATGTCCCAGTGGCCGGATGTGACGTCACGATTACCCTGACTTGTAGTACAAACAGCTCAATCTGTAGTCCTCCTGCTTCACGTGAAAAGTCAGCGGCGATTTTAGATGGAAAGAATTGCACTGAAGCTGTTTTTCTTAAGTTTACGCTAACCGAACAATGTTTTCAGCCAATTTACACCATTTTGTTCTTCGTGCGGACGGTCTCTGGAACTTTTACGGGACACGGTACAAGGTGGCAGGACCAAGCAGCAGGGCCGGGCTCAATTCGTGGCAGTGGCTGAGGCAGAGCCTGCCATCGGAGAGGCCGATGGTGGCCGCTGCCGGCAGAGACTGCCATCGGAGAGGCCGATGGTGGCCGCTGCCGGCAGAGACTGCCATCGGAGAGGCCGATGGTGGCCGCTGCCGGCAGAGACTGCCATCGGAGAGGCCGATGGTGGCCGCTGCACGATGGTGGCTGCTGCCGGCCGAGGCCACTTACTCGCAGATAAAGTACTCCGTTCCATCAAGTAAATGTGACATTATAAAAGTTTTAATGCAGTTTATTAAGCACTAACATCACAATAAAAAGAAACCCATAAAGAATACATTTTAATACAGGTTATTAAGCGATAACATCACAATATATAGCCTATATATATATATATATCTATATAAAACAATCTACTTAGAAGTACTATAAATAAGGCATTTGCCGAAAAATGGCAGGAAAAATACCCAAAAAATAATTAAATACCAAAGAAAAGTAACTAAAAAACTACATGACAAAATAATAGTGGCTCCGGCCAGTAATACCCGGCCCTGCTGCTTGGTCCTGCCACCTGGTCCGTGTCCCGTAAAAGTTCCAGAGACCGTCCGCACGAAGAACAAAATGGTGTAAATTGGCTGAAAACATTGTTCGGTTAGCGTAAACTTAAGAAAAACAGCTTCAGTGCAATTCTTTCCATCTAAAATCGCCGCTGACTTTTCACGTGAAGCAGGAGGACTACAGATTGAGCTGTTTGTACTACAAGTCAGGGTAATCGTGACGTCACATCCGGCCACTGGGACATTCCCTTTCCGTGTAGCCGTCTTTTGTTAATTTGTTTTTGGCTATGTAAATGTGTTTTGCCACTTGCAGTTTTGTCTTTGCACTTGTACAAGTGTTTCCGAACGGTCAATTTTTTTTAGATGTAAATTTGTTTCCCTATAATGTATTTTTTTTCTCTAAAATGAAACTTTCTCTCACCTAAAATCTAACTTATTTAAAATGTGAATTTGTTTCCTTAAATGTAAATGTGTTTTTAAAAATTTTAACTTTTTTTTCAAAAATAAATTGTTTCATAAAATATAATTGTTTCTTCAAATTTTATTTTGTTTTTTATTTGTTAATGTGTTTTTGAATTGTAAATGTGTTTTGCACTTCTCAGCCACCGTAGCATATAGTGGGAACAATGGACCCAGATCCACTCTCTGATTTAAGTGAACCATATGGATGTTAACACACCACAGCAGTTGCTTCTGATCTAACAAGCAGAAACAACTCTTTTTACGTTCTTAGAACCGGGAGCAGCCCTGGTGAGAGGAATTCAGACGGATAATAGAGCAAAGCACTAAAGCACCCTGATCCTGCCCTGGCTTCCTTCCATGTGGTTCTCCATTGTTTACACTCCTGATTACATCATCAATGCTAACCCTGCATGATGGCGTCACCAGACAAGCAGCAGTGGGGTGACAGAGGTTACGCAGCTTGCCAGCAGGGGGGTCAGAGCAGCTTTTGCCAACGGGAAGGGATCCAAATGCTGATTGTGGGCGGATCGACCCGTCTTTGAATAACTCGGTATAACCCGATAATTTCTGCTGAAAAGGGGCTTTAGATTACTACTAATATCTACGAATAGTAGATAGCAGATTTCCTGTCAGGCCAAGCTCAGATTTTCTTCTCAAATCGTTAGTTTGTTTAAGTTGGTTTTTGCTTGATGATTATGTACAGGGTTCCTACAGCATAAGGCGAGTTAAATTCAAGACTTTTTAAGACTTTTTAATGCCACTTGACATAAAAATTTAAGACCAAATTCACAAGAAACACAAGAAAAACCTGCTTGCGACAACTTAACCCAAAGGTTTATTTTAACATAAACCACTGCACTAATGTTACAAATTTTGAAAAACTTCCCATACAGGAAGAAAGCTAAAAACACACAAATGACAGATATATTTTTAACAATTATTTAACTGAATTCACAAACTTTGTTTTAGCAGGGAACAAAAGAAATCAGTTTTAAAGCCACAACATAACCAGTGCTAAGTCTTTTTTGCAGCTATTTTTCTTTGTATGGTTTTCTTAGTATGTTTGATTTGGTGAAAAGTGGAGGCGTTGCAGAGACAAGGGTGGAACTAAACTGAGAAATACCGGCTGTTTCTCTCTAACTCCATTTTGACGCTTTGTGTTTCGTGCTTCGCATGTGCGACTCCACTGCCTTCATTCCCATCGTTCCCAGCTTGAATGACTTCTTGGACAAAATCCACTGAGCCTCATGTATGTTCCCTGGTTTTAGCCATGGAGAAAACTCTTGGCTGGAGACAGTTTTCGTTACATTTACACTTGCTCATATTTTCCAGACAAAAAGTAAATGGTTCATCTCCCAAATGTCAGCGCTTTTATTGGTTCCACTATCGGGACGCAACCAATAATGGCGCGCCATTATTTTTTTTTATAAAAAAAAAAAGGTCAACTTTAATGTTCTATTTAGATTACAAAAATGTATCATAATAAAATAATCCTGTTTATGTTGTTTTAAAAATTAAGACCTACGAAAGACTGATTTAAGACATTTTAATACCAATTAAGGCCTTAGTTTTATTTTTGAAGACTTTTTAAGGACCCGCGGGAACCCTGTATGTAGAAAATGCTCTTTCTCTCCAGATAATTGAAGATTTCTGGTCAGACTAGAACTATCATCTATTCACGGTTTTATCAGCAGCTGAGTGATGCTGCCACCACCATGTTTTACTACGAGTACGGAGATCTGTGTTGCTTTTGTTCCAGATGCGTTCTTTGTATTCATTACCAACAAATTCCTGAGTAAAACCTGTTACGGTAGCCAATGTGATCTTGTGCAGAGATGGAGAGCTGAGAAAGACTGGAGTGAGATAGATGTTACTGTGGGATTTAAAGAGCAATGGTTGGCTTCTCTGTGCAGGACAAGATCGGACCTAAATTCATATGTGTTCGATTTAATGACAGTTTTGAACAGAGCATGTTAAAGTTAATGATACGATGCAGAGAAGAATGTGGCCCCGCAAAGATCACCATTAACCTGGGGCAAAGATGAAGGCATGTCTCAGAAGAACAGCCTGAAACCTGTCATGCTGGTTTCACTCCCATTACCCCTGGGGACTGATTAGTGTCATTCAAGATTCCCACCTTACTTCTCTGTACGCTCTCATTGTAAAATTTCCCCTTGTCATCTATTGTAAAAACGATGTTAGCATTGAACGACGAAGGCCTTCCTCTGTGAAGATCCTCCCGAAACCCGAACTTCAATAAATCCTCATCAGAAGAAGTTTGTCTGTCTTTGACCCACAAAGAATCAGATGATTTCTAATCTAATAAATAACAATGATTATTGTCACATATAAGCGGAACCTGCAGGTCCTGAAGTCTTTTCTATTGCTCTATTGACACCATTCAGTACCATTTAAAAAAAAATCACACACTGTTTGTTTTTACTTGATAAAAGCCCCATTTACACTACTCTTTTGAAACAATGCCGAGATCGGTCCGAACACGGTAACCGAGATAACTTTTGAGAGTAAACGGCCCACAAACTGAAGTGAACAGCCCCAGTTACAACCGAACCGAGCTAACATGATACTAGTTCATCAGTAGGGCTCCGCGTAATTCAGTTGTGGCTTGGTTCTCTGATAACAGAGCGAATGAACAGGCCGCGTCATCTCCTTACAGTCAGCTTCCAGTAGTTGGTGCTTCTGCTGCTCCTGTGTTCAACGGCGGAGAGCGGCTTTGCTATATTTGCTGCAGTCAGTGGGTAAAAAGCAGTTTTAATATATTTTTAAGCGAGAAAGTACACCTCAAAACATTATCTGTGCAGTCAGTCCATCCAGATTACCATCCTACATTCAAATATTATTTCACTGTCAGAGCCGCTCAGATCATCACATAGCAGCGGTGCACTGTGACTAGGAATCCAGCAACAGCAGGCTCAGGCACGGTCGCCTCTAGGAGGTTCCCCCCTGCTGTTTGTGGCAAATGTAAATAGATGTGTTAGAAATATTTAATTTATACTCCGTTTGTGTTTCATGGGTTGTGTTCTAATGAACTATTATGATGTATAATGTGTGATCCATCTTTTATTAACTCTTGCTTAAGATCGTTCCAGATAAAGGTCATGCAACGGACGGGTTGTGAAAGAGACCTAAACATCCTCTATCACATGTTTCTTCTAAACATGTGTTCTTGGAACAATTCAATTGTAAAACAACCACATGCTTTGTTTTAACATATGTGCTGAGGTTTAAAGTAAGATCTTTTTGTTTCCCTTCCCCTTAGTTAAACCTCAGCTGGTGTAATTAGGGACATCCCCTTTTCTTCAATAAATAGCGAGGAGAAAGCTGAAGACTGCAGAGTGGGGTGGAGACTATAAACTCCGCAGTCTCTTCCTACTCTCCTCGCGAGTAAATAAATTAATTGTCTCTGTGCCTTCTTTTTTTCCCTGTATGTATGTATGTATGTATGATGTTTTAGGTGCTTAGACCTGACAAGATGTTAGCGGTTTTCATGTACGAAATCCAAACTGCAGGCACCAGAATAATAAAAGTGACCATATTTTGCCAGCAGGTTTCCATATTTTAAGTTAATTTAGGCGTTAATAAACTGTTTCAGTGGAGTGATCATAGCGCTCTGCATTAGCAGCGCTGATGCTGTCTCCCTGCCAGCTCCCAGATCAGTTCCTCTAATTGGTTGCTGTGGCACGTCGAGCAGCAAAAGTTCAGTGTTTCCAATCCAACGCCACCAACAACAACAGTTAAATATGATACAAGAAACCAACTGCAGGGCTCTAAAGTAGTCTAGAGAATCCTTGCGAGCAGTAGTACCATAGATCGTCACTACGGGGCGAGGAACCGTGCTAGTGGGATGTCGTAAGGAACCGAGTCATAAGGAACCAAACTCAGCACGGTTAACTGATCCAAACTCGGTCCGAACTCGGCAAGGATCAGTTTCAGAAGATGGTGTAAACGGGGCTATTATCACCTATTTAGGATGTTTCATATTTGGTAGCCTTTAGAAAACCAACATGCTTTACAGGAACCAAAGTCTGGTTTAATATGGTGGACCACCATGTTCGATGCTAGGGATCGGATTAAAGGTGAGGTGTGAATTACATTTAGGTTAAGATTTGGTTTAGGAATATATTGGTAATGTCTGGGTAGGGCATAAATACACATACTTAAATTTTTTATTGATAAATCAATCAATAATAAAAGTCAGTCAATGTAAAATGCTTATATGGATCGAAATACTAACTTTCGTGTGTGTGTGTGTGTGTGTGTGTGTTGTGTGTGTGAGTACCAACTCATGGCAGCCTCCATTGTTTTTCTGACAGGGGTTGATAAGGTCGCACACCTTGCCATCTCCCATATAACCAGTTTTACAAACACACTCGCTCTGCAAACAGACACACAGAGGTTCACTTAAAATTACAGGAAACTGCAGGAAGATTAAAGAACATTATATAATATTTATTAATGATTGTTGTTATGGTGCATAATAGCACATTTGATTTAAATCCAAGAGGACTAGACTTTCAGTCAGTTTTCCTGAGAACATTTCCACAGCTATCCAGAAATCAGTCAATTGTTGCCGTTCACACCAGAGTTGATGATACCCATCCTGATAAGCACAGAAAAACTAAAAGAAAGTCCAGTGTCCTCAGATTTAAATCCGTTTTGTGGTTGCCGTGACCCAAATGACTGAGAATTAGGTGCAGAAGGCCTTCAAACTCTTTCAGTCATATTTATTTCTGAATGATGCAGTTAATAAAGATCAACTGTAAGCTATAAACTCTGTTACTACTGATCTACATGCCTGCTGTTGGTTATGCTCCAGATCCAGATCTCCATCTTTGATTAAATTCTCTGCACCCATCCAATCAGGACCGTGATCCAGAACAACAATCTCTGACACTGCAGCTGCTTTCAGGCTTGAAATAATTACTGTTTTTTCTTTACACTTCCAGCTCAGTGTTTAAGGGATTATTAAAAATACTGAAGCTTTGATATCTTTAAAAAACATAAATCAAAAATTTGGAATTCTGTTGATGGTAAATCTGTGTTATTTTAGGGTTTGTTTAAATACAGCAAATCGTCTGCCTTCAGCTGACCTGTCCTGGTCCGATGTGATTGCAGTCGGCGTTGGGGCTGCAGCCTCCTCGGCCTTCCAGCTGACAGTTGTTGATCTCCACGCAGACTTTCCCGTCCCCAGTCCATCCCTCAGCGCACACGCACGACACATTACCCGGACCCGCGTACACACACTCTGCCTGCAAACCGAGCAGATGTCGTGTACAATGACGTAAAGATATTCAGACAAAAAACATTTCAACAACTTCTCAGCTATCTTAGGGTTCAGTTGTTTTCCCATGACTATGAAAACTGATTTAGAAGATATCTTAGGTTCATTAAAGATTAACATAAAGGCTGGATAGTGACTGATAGAAACTGTCAGCCTTACGTTGGCGTCGCAGCCTCCGCGGTTGCTCTTTAGGCAGAGGTTGATGGGAGAACAGGAGTGGCCATCGCCCTCATATCCATCCCTGCACAAACAGCTGGTGAAACAAAAAAAGGGACAAAGTAAACAGAGGCTACAGAAAAAAAAGACAAAAAGAACCATAAAACAAAACAAACAACCATAAGTCAGGACATGGTGCAGAGTTGGGAAAGTGCTTGGTTAATTATATTTTTAAAAAAACAACTGAGAGGACATAGTGTCGGCTTGTTAAGGAGGATCTCTACTGTAATGGAGGAGATGCTGTGCAGGAGTTACTCATTCAATCGTATACTCGGGTTCTCAGCTGTCTGCTCTCTGAGCTGATCAGAGAAGCTGGTTCTGCTCAGCAAACTCCAGAAGTCGCTCCTTGTGCTGACGTCCCACCCACCTACTGAGAGCTTCTTTAAACAGACCGGTAGCTGATCAGCAGCAGCTAGAGAGAAAAACCCTGCAGGCGAAGTCTTAAAAAAAAAAAAAAAACACCTTAAATGGAATGGGGTGCACACCCAGTGCCACAGGCTGGTTTCTGCACAGACTGACGGTGCTGAGGGCCCTGTCACACCTTGCAGATTTAGAAAGCATATGCCTGATGTCCCAGATTCTTCTAAAATGCCGGCATATGCTGAACTTTCTATGTATTTTTTTTTCAATTTTGGGCGTATACATAGAGTATTCATAACGAGTCCAGAACTTATTCCAGCGACAGCCTAACTTATACATAACAGCAGCATAATCCCCATGAAAAGATGCACAAGCATAATTTCATGGGCTTTACGAAGCCTCAGTTAAAGCTGCTCCCCTCAGGCGCACAGAGGCGCTTGGTCTGCATTAAAAGATGTTTTAACCTAGCTGCCGTTTACCGCCTGCCCCCAAAAAGGGATTTAGAAAAAGAAAAAAAAGAAAGATAGAGGTTTCTGCTGCCACCAAAAACCTTCGGGCAAGTTGCTTTCACATTTCATTTGCCCAGAAACAATTTTTACTTGCCCAGTATGATGTTTGATAAATATAGTTCCTAATATTCATATATATATATATATATATATATATATGTATATGAATGAAACATGTTTGTTTTGTAAATGTTTTTTTTTGTAATTCAGTAAGTTTCCAGGTTCCTGGTGTGTATCTGCATGCGTCAGATAATGAACTCAAGCCTACATTACCGTGTTAACATGCTTTTCAATCCTTCCTGCACATTCTTTTCAAACTAAACTTTGCTTTAAACTGTTGTGTGCTTGGCAAAATATAAATTGTAATGTTAAAAATCTAAAACAAAACCTGACAGGTTAAAAACTTACACGACTACTACTCACCAATTTAACATGTTTAGCTCTATAACATTTAAATGCACCACTCCAATGTCTAAGAGAAAAAAATTTAATGAACATTTTTTAATGTATGACCTGCATCACTGTACAGAAGACTGCCATATGATAGAAATATTTACACCGTGCGCAGACAATTATTATTATTATTTTCCTAATCCCTGACTAATCAATTTTTTATCTAGCATGTATTATAGTATACAGGTGCTGGTCATAAAATTAGAATATCATGAAAAAGTAGATTGATTTCAGTAATTCCATTTAAAAAGTGAAACTTGTATATTATATTCATACATTACATACAAACTCATATATTTCAGATGTTTATTTTGTTTAATTTTGATGATTACAAATGACAACAAATGAAAATCTCAAATTCATCATATCAGAAAATTAGAATATTGTGAAAAGGTTCAAAATTGATGGCCCCTGGTGCCACACTCTAATCAGCTAATTAACTCAAACCACCTGCAAAAGCCTTTAAATGGTCTTTCAGTCTAGTTCTATAGGCTACACAATCATGGGGAAGACTGCTGACTTGACAGTTGTCCAAAAGACGACCATCGACACCTTGCACAAGGAGGGCAAGACACAAAAAGTCATTGCTAAATAGGCTGGCTGTTCACAGAGCTCAGTGTCCAAGCACATTAATAGAGAGGCGAAGGGAAGGAAAAGATGTGGTCGAAAAAAGTGTACAAGCAAGAGAGATAACCGCACCCTGGAGAGGATTGTGAAACAAAACCCATTCAAAAATGTGGGGGAGATTCACAAAGAGTGGACTGCAGCTGGAGTGAGTGCTTCAAGAACCACCACACACAGACGTATGAAAGACATGGGTTTCTGCTGTCGCATTCCTTGTGTCAAGCCACTCTTGAACCACAGACAGCGTCAGAAGCGTCTTGCCTGGGCTAAAGAGAAACAGGACTGGACTGCTGGTGAGTGGTCCAAAGTCATGTTCTCTGATGAAAGTAAATTTTGCATTTCCTTTGGAAATCAAGGTCCCAGAGTCTGGAGGAAAAGAAGAGAGGCACTTCATCCACGTTGCTTGAAGTCCAGTGTAAAGTTTCCACAGTCAGTGATGGTTTGGGGTGCCATGTCATCTGCTGGTGTTGGTCCATTGTGTTTTCTGAGGTCCAGGGTCAACGCAGCCACATACCAGGAAGTTTTAGAGCACTTCATGCTTCCTGCAGCTGACCAACTTTTTGGAGATGCAGATTTCATTTTCCAACAGGACTTGGCACCTGCACACAGTGCCAAAGCTACCAGTACCTGGTTGAAGGACCATGGTATCCCTGTTCTTAATTGGCCAGCAAACTCTCCTGACCTTAACCCCATAGAAAATCTATGGGGTATTGTGAAGAAGAAGATGCAATACACCAGACCCAACAATTCAGAAGAGCTAAAAGCCACTATTAGAGCAACCTGGGCTATCATAACACCTGAGCAGTGCCACAGACTGATCGACTCCATGCCACGCCGCATTGCTGCAGTAATACAGGCCAAAGGAGGCCCAACTAAATACTGAGTGCTGTACATGCTCATACTTTTCATGTTCATACTTTTCAGTTGGCCAACATTTCTATAAATCCTTTGTTTTTATTGGTCTTCAGTAATATTCTAATTTTCTGATATGATGAATTTGAGATTTTCATTTGTTGTCATTTGTAATCATCAAAATTAAACAAAATAAACATCTGAAATATATGAGTTTGTATGTAATGTATGAATATAATATACAAGTTTCACTTTTTAAATGGAATTACTGAAATCAATCTACTTTTTCATGATATTCTAATTTTATGACCAGCACCTGTAGATTACATTCATCATCCAGCTGCTGCTCTGCAGAATTCTCTCCCCAAGGAGAAAAAAATCACGCCATCTAGCGGAAAATCACACGGCTTTTTCGGCGAGAATGTGTACAAAACAACAAAAATGGCGCCGGCAACGCTTGTGGGTCGTTTTCAGCGAATGTTGGTGATTTTAAAGTAATTTCAAGTGATAAATTAATTTTTTTTGCAATCATTGCACTTACCCGGTGGGCAAATGCAATGAAATTTGTACTCTCCCAACAATAAAAACTACTTGCCCTGGGAGATCGGGCAACATCGAGCCTTGGTATTATAATTATTGTTTATTTATTTGTTTTTACATTCCTTTAGTTTAGATTTACACAAAATATGTGTTACTGATAACGGTATGCACTACAAATGTCATTAGAGTTTCATTTATATGGCTAGCAGAATATTAAAACAAAAGTGCTACTATGCAATTCATTCTTGAAGTATGTGTATACAATGTGATTAATCCTGATTAACCAGGAAAATTTGGCAGGTATTTGTGATTTAAGATTTTAATCGATGCACAGCTATACATAATACAATAGACTCAGGCAGGCCCAAAGTTGGTCCTTGGTGAGGCGTTATTCTACAGGTTTCCCTGCTTTAGCACAGCTGATTCGGATGATTGCAGTTCAGCAAAAACCTGTTAATCAGCTATCAATGGATATCAGCTGTGCTGGAGCAGAGAAACCTCTAAAACCTGCTGGACAGCATCCCTGAAGGACTGTTGACCTCCCCCCCTCCAAACCTTGCATGCTTATAATGGGTAAGAAAATATGTAGCATGACCGTACTCTGTGCATTGTCAACATGAGGGGGGAAAATCCCTTTTGTGACGAATAAGAGCTGTGCACTTTTTCATTCTCCATGTCTCTTTACAGACTCTTGATTTTCAAATTTTTTTAATATAAAATGAGCTAACATTTAAATCCAGACTTTCTATTTGCTTTGATTTAATTGTAATTTGTGCCCACCTGCAGAGATGATTTAATTGTAATTTGTGCCCACCTGCAGAGATGATTTTTAAATCAACATTACTCTACCGCTGTTTTTTTTCTGATGGGCTAACTATGTCTGTATGCACAGAAAACCTGTCTCCATCCTGTCAGTTTGCACCCGACTGTCAGAAGTATTTAAAAAGATGCAAAAACTGCGGCCGCAGCTGAGTTTCTGATTGGAAGATAGCTTTGCACATGATACATATTTACATTTGCAAATCCTCCAACCATAAACATGATGTTTAGTAATTAGAGTATCAACTGTATATTAATTCAAGCACACACCCCCAAAAATGGTTTGCATACGCTGCAAACGCAAATCGCTTTGGACCTTATAAGAAGAAGCGTAAAAACATGTCTGCAGCCGTTATGTGCCTATGTGTCTTATCATCCTGCCATTGGGTCAATAAGATGTGGTTTGGAGTACAGAGCCATTTGCCTTTCATCTAAGTTTATAAATTCTGCTTGAAGCTGCATTTACAAACAGTCAAGCTGTTTGAATGATTCCTGCCTGAAATGTAAGAACTTTTCCTTACAGTGCTGTTAAAAATAAAAATGCTGACCAGGCTAGCTAAATGCTCAGAAATCTGTTTGCATTGATCGTCTACAGAAACTTTCAATGTGGCAATAACCTGCCTAACTGTTGATTTAATCAGATTGTAACTTAGATTGTCTAGATATTTAGCTGTTTTTTTATTAGTAGGTTACCTTCTGTAACTGCTTAGTTTATAGTTTCTTAATTATTTTGGTAATTTTTTTTTGTTCAAATTTTAAAATTATGTTTGTGCCACCATCTTGCCCAGTGCTCGCCAAAAGGCTTTTCAGGCAAAATAATGACTTTCTTACCATCAATTTTATTATCTGTATGTGTTTTAGAACCAGTTCTGGATCTATATGTTGACTTGTCCTTTTAGTGATTCTGTCTAAAGAACAGCTGATCCTTTTTTTTTGTGTTCGGCACAACGAAACATGCCTCTGATAAAATTGATTGATAAAATTAGTAAAAGAAAAGTTGACAGTGTTTCTTAAATTCAGTGTGTGGTTGGAAAATTTGGAAAATTTAGATTTTCTCTAGTTTCATATATTTAGTTATGTTTTTCTTTATCCTCTTTATCCTGCAAGGTCACAAAATGTCTGAGTGAGAAGTGTTTTGCATACAAGGAATACTTATTTCATAACAAGCCAAATACTTTCTCAAGAATTGTTATTGTTTAACCAAAGTGTGTGTAATTTTTTTTTGACTGACACAACCTTCACGGCTTTTTCCTCATAAGTAAGGGAGGCAAACTCTGTCTAGATCCGAACTGTTATTTAACTGAGGTGAATAGTTGAATAGTTTTTTCCTACTACAAGGGACTTGGTTTTATTTCTCTGGAATGAGAGAGACAAGACTCTTGGTGTGCTCTTTCCAGAGAACTATATGTGCCCAATCCAAAATGCAAGGCGTGAAACTGCAGGAACATCTCTATTTATTTTAGGCTTTTTAAATTGAGACTGCTCAGAATGCTGCAAGTAAAATGTTGTCTGATCAAAGCTGCTTCACTCAACCTGCTTCTAAAGACACAAACCAACCATCCCTTGGAGTAAAAACAGACTGCATGAGACCAGAGCGAACCATGATGGTTGTTCAGTGGTGGGAAACCTTACCTATAATCCAGTCCAGTGTGGGTGCAGTATGCGTGGATGTGGCAGTGAGCCATCAAGCCGTCGGCATTGCAGGGCGTGGCCGTTTTTTCACAATAATCTCCAGAATATCCCTCCACACACGATCCTCTCCGACACACGCCGCCACTGCCGGGCCGGTTATCGCACACGCCATGCAGGCAGCGGCACTCTGAGGAAATGACAGCAAGAACTGCTTTTTGCTCCAACCGGTTTAATAACATGAAGTTCTACTCAGATTCATGCTGCTAGTGCCAAAAAAAAACCAATTGGATTAATCGTGATTAATCCAGTATTGAAGTAATCATCAACTAATTTAGAAACCGATTAAACGTTAAGTGGAGCATAGAGATTGTAAAACATGACTGTAGGTGACAGAGAGAGAGACTTCATAACTGTGGGCAGACGTGAACAGCAGGAACACCAGGTAGCGTGTAGGAGTCTATCTGCTGTCAGGAGGTTGATCTGGACTGCACTGTGCAGCAGGTTGTGCTTTACCAATGTCAAAGGGTTGATCGAATCATTCTATAGGGTATTTGGTGTTGGTCCTTAAGGTCTCTGAATAGGGTGTGTAACTTTGGTTGGGCTATAAATGGCATATTTGCTGTCCCGTGAGCCCTATTGAAAGCCTGGTTAAAAGCACTAGAATGAAACGACAGGTTTTCTTCCTTTTATGGTATGCTCATGAATATTTAGATGAGCTGTGCTCTGATTGGTTGGTTTACAACGAGCGAAGCTGCTGAGCAAAGACGCATCATAGCAACAAGCACTCTGTCAGGACTCCTGTCTGTCTGTTGTGTTTCTGTGTTTGTCTCCCTTTGTCTCCCTACTGTAAAAGTGCAGAAAGCCTGAGTTCCTTTAAATTAAGACTAAAAACACATTTGTTTAGGATTGCCTTCAACTGTTCTAGTTAAACAGTTCAACTAAAACATCTTTTCTTTAATCCAACTGTTTTTAATATTCTTTTTTTGTTTCTGCATTTTTTATTTTATTTTATTTTTTTTCCTACTTGCTTTGATTCTGTTTTATCTTCCTATATTTTAATCATGTAAAGCACTTTGCATTGTCTTTGTACTGAATTGTGCTATACAAATAAATTTGCCTTGCCTTGCCTGCCTTCCTGCACCAGGAGGCGCCTGGTTCTGGTCAGCCTCCTTACACACCTGCTGATGGTTTCCTCGTTATCAGAGTGTTCTTAAGCTGCTGTCTGCCACTACCTCAACGCCAGAGTGTTTGCCAGTTTTGGGTACTCTAGCCAAGCTGAGTTTTGCTGAGTCAAGCTGAGTTTTTGTCAACCTGAGTTTTAACTTTGTTTTTGTCTTTGCCTCTCGGCGGGAAGTCATCCTGCAAACTGGATTTCAAACAGGAGGTTTGGATCCACTTTCCCCAAGAGATCGTTTGAGCTTCACACTGAGAAAGGGATTAATCTCCACTACGACCCGTTCAAGTACCGCAGGAAATCTGATTGGCAGTCAGTTTCTCCGTTAACAACCGCATTCTGCGTAAAACCTGTTCCGCCCTCCACCGAATCAGACAAAGACTGGAACTACAGCACACAGACTGGAGTCAAGGATTCAACAACTTCTCTGGAAACGTGAGTCAGCAACCAAATCCTCTTCCCCAAGTTCTCGAGCCAAATTTCGCACTGAGCATGAACTAACCACTGTGTCTTCCCCTCACTTTTCAGTTCCGGTTGAGCAGTGTTCAGAGCAACACTTCTCTCAGTATTATCTCTTCAATAAAACCTGTTAAACCTTTTCCCTGGTCTCCCTGTTTGGTCTTCAGCATTTGGGTCTGAACCTTAGTAAAATCATGACACACTCACTCACTGAAACATCAGAATGTTGATATGGTAGGGTGACCAGACGTCCTCTTTTTCACTGACATGTCCTGCTTTCATATAAAAAAAAAAAGTCCGGGGGAAATTTCAAAATCATCCGGGATTTTCGTCTAGGATGGGATTGGACTTTATACCAGGCCAGTGACTTTTTGCTCCTAAACATGATTAGCCCCACATCTAGTCACTGACCTGTGTTTTCTACCTTTGCAGTGAATCCAGTTATCTGCCCAACTGACGATCAGCTGCTCGCTGAGTTATTTGTTTTAAATAAAGCTTGTTGAAAACAGTCCTGAACTGTCTGTCTGAATATTGGGTCCAAGTTTCTGAGGTTGTTACATTTACATTTAAGATTAAAAAAAGATCTCTGTCAATATGCTCTATCCATCACTCTTCAGGCAGAAAGCATTAGTTTTACCTGGTTTAATTTTGTAAAAAATCTTCTTTTAGGAACCTTTAACTATCCGATTATTAATCGATTAAATTATGAAAAAATAATCAACAGATTCATCGATTTGCAAATTATTAATTAGTTGTCGCCCTAAATGCTGCACAGCAAAATAAATAATCAGAATCTGTTAAAGCGCACTGATTTATTTCAAACACGTTTCAGATCAAACGGGTTTAAGGATGAGGAGGAGATGCTAACCTTCGTCGCAGTTTTCTCCATGTTTGGACGGATCCGTGCAGATATGACAGGCGAGTCCTCTGAATCCGGAATGGCAGCTGCATGAGCCGTTACCATGGATACCGTCAAAACACTGTTGACATGGGGGAAAAAAAAGACATTTACAGCAGCACACACCCATATAACACAGAGACAGACGTTCCAGAAGGTTCCTCACTGCTCCTTTGTCGTAGCAGGGATGCTGGAATCCTCCGATGCAGGGTTTACAGTCCGGACCGTAGAAACCTTTGCAGCACTCCGCCACCTGCCCAACACATCGCACTCATTAAAAGGACCACACTGCAAAAACGAGCTAGAAAAATGTCTATTTCCCCTTGAATTGAGTAGGTATGTTATGTTTCTGGCCTGTTAACTAGTATTTGTTTTCATTCCCCTCCCCCTTCTGCTCTGTGCATTTGGCCTTCTTAAGCAAGCCTCTGACTAGTTGACAGTGTCAGATTGCCCGAAAGCCTTGGCTAGTAAGTATCCAGCATTTTTCTGTCTGTCTACCTGATCCTGACCTGTTTCTGCATCCTGATTTTTTGAGCCTGCCTAGCCCTTGTTGGATCTGTTTTTTGTGCCGCCTGGATCCCTGACCTGTTTCTGTGCCCTGACCTTGTCCCTGGATTCTGTTTTGGATTCTCTGATAATCAGATCACCTGGCTCTGACCCTGGACCTCCTTTGACCAAGATTGTTTGCCGAGCCTCAGTGAGAATTCACTGTCAAGCAACCAAAGTTTTCTGGAACAAGACACCCCGCCTGGATATTAAGGAAGGTTAGTGGCTTAGTAGTCTGAACCTTAAATCATCAATCTCAGCCACTAACCTGTTCTCTCCTCTCCAGAGGCTCTGGCTCCCCTGATCCTGAATAACCTGCATTATTCCCTCAATAAATCTTTTAAAGTTATTTCCTGTTGTGTTCTGGTAGTTTCTGGGTCCTTCCATGATTTCCAATGGAATTATTATTTTAGTCTCAATATAAGATAATTAGATATGATGCCCTTGAAATAAAACAATGCAATTTTTTTTTCTTATTTTAAATGTAAATAGTCCTGATCCATTGGCAAAGTGTGTCACTTACCTCCCTAATTCAAGAGAAAAACGCCTTATACTAAGAAAAAAAATGACTTATGTAGATTTCAATTATTGCAGTGCAGGAGTCAAAAGGATTAATCATTGAACATTTATCTGCTACAGCTGTGTTTTGCTGCTGCAAAGAACTGAAATATCACTAATCCACATCATGCAGCCCCCAAAGTAAAGCCAACAGTGTTCTGCAGACATGGACTTAGAATGACTAAAGAGGATCTGGCATAATTTAATTAGGCATCCGATCATCTTGGTAGAACAAGGGTGGTGTTCTATCTGTACAGGTATAGACAGCGCAGTTAATGAAATATTTTCCCTCATGAATTAAAGGAGCAGCAGGTCTACAGATGATGGAGCTTCTCTGCCGATCTCTACGGTAAAGGCTGGCTGTCCTACAGAGGAAGCTCAGTCAGACGCTTACATCCTGGCTCCTTTGGTCAGGATCCAAACCGTCTGACTAAAGGGCAAGATTGAATAATAGATGAGCAGAACGTCAACCTTTAGCTCAGCTTTACAGCAACAGTTTTTTCAAAATGCTTCACAAAATACCAGCAACAAGAGCACCTGGAGCCCCACCACAGACTCCATGCAAGACCAAGAACAAAAAAAACTGTCTAATGTGATAAAATTGGTGTCATATCAGGACAGAGTTAGACAAGAGCAAAAAGTGGGGAAGCTTTAACTAAGCAGCAAGCTCCGTTCAAAACGACTTATTTATACTACTAACTAATATTTATTACCGCAATTTTCAGACTATTAGCCGCACCTGAATATAAGCCGCAGAAGCTAAATTGCATGATTTGTACATATACAAGCCGCACCGGACTATAAGCCGCAGGTTTTTTATGTTTAATGTCTGTCTTTCTCGCTGTCGTTCTGTCTCGTTCCACTCGCGGTAGAAGTCTGCTTCCGGAGGACCTCTGCATTCCTGCGTGCGGCTACCGTACTTGTGTGTTGAAGCAAATGTGACATCAACATGGCGGATGGTAAAATCCATAGATTTAGGAATTACCCTAGTGGCCGTTAGCTGTAAAAGTCCGTAGATAAGCCGCATTGTTATATAAGCCGCAAGGTCGAAAAATGAAGAAAAAGTCGCGGCTTATAGTCCGAAAATTACGGTACTTCCTTCCCTCAGATGACTCTGAAACGTTTTTATGTTTTTAAAACAAGTCAATGGTATCAATTAGCTTTTAAAACATTTTGGAGCCTGGCCATTTGGTGTTAGGATCAAAATTTTACAGTGTACCTTATGTGATAGTTATTTTAACAAATATTGGATAAGCTAATTATAAAGATCCAGGAGGTTTCTAGAAACCATCCACATATATCTCTTGCTCATTCTTTGTTTTTCTGAGGCTCAGTTCATCTCAGCTAAATCGTAAAAGAACATCTTTGTCCTTCTGCAACGATTGAGATTTTATAGTTTTAAGCCGCTGTCAAACCTTGACGATTTAGACCAGCGTATGCCTGACGTACGAAAAATCTGGCAAAATGCTTGCATACGTTGGATAAGTTATGGGTACGTTTTATATACAGGGTTCTGTGGAACGGTATTTTTCTTTGGCCTGTTTGTCAGTGATGTTAAAGTCTGTTTTTTCTCTTTTCCTCAATAAAAGTAATTACTTAGAAGCCTTGCTGAGATGAAAGGAAAGGAAGGGAAGGAAAGGAAGTTTCCCCCTAGGTTAGATAAGGGGGAAACAAGTCAAGATTCTCACGTCCTGGTGTGAATAGAAAACAATTGTCATCTCTGTCCTTTGATGAGCTAAAGTGTTTTCTCTTGGAAAATGTTAATGTGTGGGTAGTCCCCTTTTTATGCAGGGGTTGGCATGCTGCAGCCTCAGAACATCACTGAACTGCATTTAGGCTGGTCGTGGGTTCTCCTTTGCAAAGTAAAATAAAACCTTTTCTTCCTATAATATCAACTCTCAGCGTTCATATAGTTTTTTAACTCGACAGTTCCTACAGCATAAGACAAGTTAAATTCAAGACTTTTTAAGACTTTTTAATGCCACTTGAAATAGAAATGTAAGACCAAATTTACAAGAAACACAAGAAAAACCTGCTTGCGACAACTTAACCCAAAGGTTTATTTTAACATAAACCACTGCACTAATGTTTCAAATTTTGAAAAGGTTCCCATACAGGAAGAAAGCTACAAACACACAAATGACAGATATATTTTAACAATTATTTAACTGAATTCACAAACTTTGTTTTAGCAGGAAACAAGACAAATCAGTTTTAAAGCCACAACATAACCAGTGCTAAGTCTTTTTGCAGCTATTTTTCTTTGTATGGTTTTCTTAGTATGTTTGATTTGGTGATAAGTGGAGGCGTTGCAGAGACAAGGGTGGAACTAAACTGAGAAATACCGACTGTTTCTCTGTAACTCGAATTTGACGCTTTGTGTGACTCCCCTGCCTTAATTCCCATCGTTCTGAGCTTGAATGACATTGGCGGTCTGAGCAGCTGTACAACGGTGCTCTGTCACCGGGAACCCCATTCAACGGCAGCCTCCAGCCCGGTCGCCTCTTCGCGGTTCTCCGCTACTGTTCGCGGCTGGAAGTAGATATTAGCCTTTTTCATGTACGTAATCCAAACTGCAGGCCCCAGAATAATCAAAAAACGAACATATTTTGCTGGCAGCTTTTTACATTTTAAGGTAATTTAGGCGTTAATAAACTGTTTCAGAGGAGTGATCATAGCGCTCTGCATCAGCAGTGCTGTGTCTGACTCCCTGGCAGCTCCCAGATCAGCTTCTCTGCTTGGTTAATGTGGCGCGTCGAGCAAAAGTTCAATTTTTCCAACTCTAGGAGCTGCTGCTTCTAAAGCGAGTTGTGTGCATCAGATGCTCAGAAGTGCTTGAGACGCTGCAGGACCTTTTGCTGCACCTTGATGCGTGTCAACCATTGACTTTGCATGTAAACTAGCTGCTTCTGCTGCCTCTGCTGCTTGTGGTGTGAACGACGCATCAGACAACAATGACTGTTCATAAGTCACTTCAAACAGATTCACAGCACCAGCACTGTTCTCTACTTTGCTTCAGGGGTTCAGACAAGGGAAACGGTCGTTTCAGTTTTTTTTTCAAATCTTATTTTGCATCCAGTTTTTATTTTATAGACATTCAGATTCACAATTTCAGGGAACAGTATTAAATGAACTGGTACTGACTCTAACCCATTCTTTCTCTCTAAAAGTTTATTGTGACTTATTACTTGAGTTTTGTTAACATTACCCTTTTCAAGAAATTTAACACAACAAGTTTTCTATTATTTGAAGCGTGTTGCTCTGAGAAAAACAAAGTAAAGATTGTTTGTGCATTTAGTTTAAAGCAAAAAAAATGAAAAACTCCAAACTATACAACTTGTTTAATTGCGATCCAAGATTTCATTTACAAGAAACAAGTAAACATTTCTTAAATTAAGTGCATTTGCCATTAATTTGAGTAGGTAAATGAGATAGTTTGCCAAGGAATGAGTAGTTTTACTCTTAAAATAAGATATTTAGATCATATGCACTTGAAATAAGACAATGCAACTGTGTTTTTCTTATTTTAAGTGTAAATTGTCTTGTTCCATTGGCAAAATGTCTGTTTTACCTCCTCAATCCAGGAACAAATGCACCTTTTTTAAGAAAAAATGACTACCGTATTTTCACGACTATAAGGCGCACTTAAACGTCTTTTTTTTCCCTCAAAATGTGCGGTGCGCCCTTTGGTGGGGTGCGCCTTATGTGTGTTGTAACTGCGACTTTTGAGACCACCTCATTGAGGAGATGATGAAAGAGTGGCTGAATGTAAGGAGACCAGGTGTTTTTTTTCCACCCCTCACCATCGCTGTTAATATGTAACTCCATGCGTGCCCATCTCACAGCTGGTGTGAAAAACATGGGGAAACAAATTAACGCTGCTCGACATCGGTGTGAACCGGACCCAGCAGGTGCAGCAGAAGCAGCGAGTTTACATGCAAAGTCAATGGTTGACGCGCATATAGGTGCAGCAAAAGGTCCCGCAGCGCATTTTGGTGCAGCACGTCGGGAGCGTTTAAGCATCTGAAGCGCCGCGCTTCTGCTGCTCGAGATGGAAAAATTGAAGTTTTGCTGCTGGACGCGCCGCATCAACCAATCAGAGAAGCTGATCTGGGAGCTGCCAGCGAAACAGACACAGCACTCTGATGACATATGATATTAACGCAAATGGAAAAGGCTGGATGGATGCGTGGCTGAGGCAGGTGTATGTGAGAAGACTAGGTGGTTTTTTCCACGCATCACCATCGCTGCGTGCCCATCTCACAGCCGATGTGGAAAAAAAGGTGAATCAAATGAACGCTGTGCTCGCCGTTATCCCGGGGGTCTGACAAAGGAGCTTCAACCGCTCGACATCGGTGTGAAGCAGCCATTCGAAGTAAGGCTGCGAGCGGCGTGGGAGCGATGGATGACCGACGGAGACCACAGTTTCAGGATAAGAAGGCAGCGCCGGGCAGATTACGCCACAGTTTGCGGATGGATTGTAGATGCTTGGACTAAAGTGTCTGCTGGCTCTGTTGTTCAAGCTTTCGCAAAAGCCGGCATTATTTCTGAGGAGCTGCGCTGCACGGAAAGTGACTGACAGCGAAGAAGGGGAAACTGGCATGTCTGATTTAGCGCAGCTGTTTTATTCAGAAACAGAGGATGATGACTTTGATGGGTTTGATTAATACTTTGTAATAAATACATGAATAAAGCACAATCATACTCAGTTTTGCTCCCGCTGTATTTTTCTCCCTGAAAACTTAATTCAACAGCATCCCCGGCGCGTCTCCTCCTCTTCATCGCGGTGGCTGGCAGGTGTTTTTTCATCTAAATAATCTAAATCTTGCAGCTATATTTGCTGTGATCAGTGGGAATAAAGTAGTTTTAATATGTTTTTAAGTGAGAAAGGCCACCTGAAAACTTAATAATTGCAGTCAGTTCATCCAGATTATCTATTTCTGTCGCAGGCGCTCAGACCCCCACATACCAGCGGTGCGCTGACAGCAGAAATCTCTTCATCAGCAGCCTGTAGGCTGGGCAGCCTGGGGTTCACCGCGGCTGCTGGCAGGTGTTTTTCATCTAAATAATTTTAGCTGCAGGCACCAGGATACCGGCAATAAAAGCGAACATATTCCGTCAGCAGGTTTCAGGATTTTAAGTTAATTTAGGAGTGACCACAGCGCTGTGTCATCTGCGATGTCTCTGTCTCACGGCCAGCTGCCATGGTTTGATTAATACTTTGTAATAAATACATGAATAAAGCACAGTCATACTCAGTTTTGCCCCCGCTGTATTTTTAAATACGCAGTAGAGGTATTTAAAGGTAGTAGAGGACTTGTACCTGTATATAAAAAACGCGCCCTATAGTCCGGTGCGCCTTATGTGTGTGTTAAATACAGAAATGGCACACGTAACTGAGAGTGCGCCTTTTAGTCCGGTGCGCCTTATGGTCGTGAAAATACGGTAATCTAGATTTAGATTTTTTTCCAGTGAGAGATCTGTCTTAATAAACAAAAACACAGAATATTATTTTCCTTTTATGTTTATATATATATATTGGTTGATGTGGTCTTGACTACAATACAACTGACAGGGTTTCTGTCTGTTTCAAAGTCAATTTTCACACAAATGTGAGCGGAAAGCTGAGTTTAGTCTGAAGAGTTAACCCCTTCACGTCAACTGGAACCACGAGCTGAATGAGGAGAAGCTGGACCTCCTGCTCTCACCTGCTTGGTGGCGTTGCAGTATTTGGCGCAGCCTTTGTGGTGCATTTCGCTAAAAGGAGGGACCGTATATTCACATCCGATCTGATGACTCTCCTGAGGAGGAACAGACAGATAAATCTGATTTAAAGCTATTATAAGTGATAATTCCACAAAAACTAACAAGACATAGAAGTTTCTGCCACTTCTTTTTGCCTGTTTTTTAAAGGATTCACGAAAACATGGCTGAAGCTCTATTAGTTTTTAGGAAGGAAGAAGGATAATAAAGCCTGGAATTAGAAATGTTTTAATTTTTTTCCATTTATAGATTATCAAATAATTTACCATTTCAATGGTCCCTTCAGGACACTGAGTCGCAGAGAGGAATCTACAGTGAACACAAGGACCCTACAAACAGAAAAGAAGAACAGTTTTCATTCTTAGTTTCAGCTTCGGATACAAATCAATACACCACTGTGTGCTGCGTCACTATCTGTTTCACATAAACAAAGAAGTCCCACATGGCCAACCCCCTCTAGCACTGCTCTGCAAGCTAGACTGTTGCGAGATCCCGTCTTGTAACCACCAGCGGGTCGGACCAATGACCTGCCAGCAGTAATTTTTGGGGGCGGGACATAACAAACCTGGCTAAACTGGGGACTCACCTGTCGATACCGCAATCTACTCAGTTTTAGCTAAAATAGCGGCAATTTCTCTTTTTTTTTTATGCATAGAGAAGCACTTTCTGCATTTATAGATGGGAAAGATGTCTGCGGTTTTGGATTTGGAATAAGTTTGATTAATCAGTTACCGAAACGTCACGATTTGCTGCTATGTTTGGCTGAGAGCTTATTATGGAAGGCGGGTACTAGCTGTCACGTCATCCAATCAGCTCGGAGTATTGTACTGAACGTCCCTCCTTTGCACGGACAGACTGAACGGCAGCCATCATAGATTGATAACGTAGAACTCAACTCAGTTCTATATATATCAATCTGGCTACTGCCAGGTTAAACCCCCGCCCCCTTAAAAGACATAAATCATCGTTATCGGCCCAGTTTGAGGGCGACTGTTCTCCACCGATGATGAGATTGTTAACGTTTTTTTCTGATCGTCTGCTGTGACTTGGTGTCCTTACCACAGTGATTTTGCTCTCGGTGACATCGCAGCGGTGAGGCAGAATGGGCAGGATGGAGGGCGGGTACAGCAGCCCATCGATCATGTGGATGACACCGTTGGACGCCATGATGTTGGTGCCCACCACATGGACTTTCTTATCTGCCAGCAGGATCTCTCCCTGAGAAGGAATGGGAGCTGTGATGTAAACCCCCACTTGGATCTTACTCCACCAATCAGGGCTACTTACACTATCAGAAGCAGAGATGGTGACAAACTGATTGGCCATCGTTTGAATAACAGGAAGGGAGGCCAACTCATCGACAGTCAACTGCACACAAAAAGAAATCCCTACAATCAAATGTTTCTAACAGAAAACCCTTAAAGCTCATTATTAAAACAAACGTGACATTTTTTTAAGTGCATTTACTGAAGTTTCTACTTGTACTGAGAACAATGTCTTCCTAAGAAGCAGCAGTAACCTTCTAAGTTTCCTCAAATGCAGGAAACTGCTGCTAAATGTTCAAAAGGTTCAGCTGCAGACAAGAAGCTTCCTGCTACACCCAGCATCATCTCCTACAGAATCATGTGGCCACCGGTGCAGAGCTTAGGCAGCAGGTACAGTAGCAGCGTCCTTCCCAGTCAAACGCCAGCCAAATGGCAGCCTTCTACCCTGCAACTCCCAACCAAATCCCCTCCAATTTCTAACCATTGGCCTTCTCCTGGGCGTGCATTTTTTTTACTCTGACTCCACCCTTTCAATGAATTACAGGGTCTGACCAGGAGATGACGTTTATCTTTAGATCTTAATCTCCACAAATCATGAGAAAGAAAATTTTAGTACAAAGATTGATGTTTAAAAACGAGTTGTAGAGAACCAGCCAAGGGCCCATCAAGGAAAATGGAGAAATTTTGAATGGCTGCTACTCTAGGTGTTGACACATCTGCATACAGAGTGAGGTGGAGACTTATGGACCACTCTGAAGCCACTTCTGCTGAAAGAAAAGACTGGGAAAAGAACAGGAGCAAACGTGTTAAAGCCATTTTCTCTGAGTTGTTCTTCTGATTGTTTAGATGGAATCAAGAAAACCTTCAGGGAAACTTTGTCCAACCATCCAGGATAAAGTCTGCTTCCAGCGATATCAGCCTGGTTCAGGTTCTTCTAGAGGTTTCTTTCTGATGAAAGGGAAATTTCCTCTCTATTGTTGCTGCATATATGCTCAGTATGGGAGGTTGCTGCAACAACACAATGCAAGCAACTGTCCACTGCTGATACCTGCTCATCCAGGAGGAGTCAGTCCTGCAAACTCAACGGCTGGATGCAAACCTGATGAGTTTTCTTACATCAGTCATTCCAATTTTCTCTTGCGGGACTCCCTATGCTTTACCACAAGAAAAGTCAACTGTAGTAGATTAAATATCGGTATTAAATAACTGGAAAAATCCCTTTTAAATCACAAAACTGACACTTTTAAAGTATATTTTTAACTGTTTTATTCACCATGTAACAGAATTCAGCATTGACAGAAAAGCCTTTAAAAAAGAAAGGGTCATTTATTGAAATTATTTCTACCAGTTACCCTATCAATTACATTGATTTTAATTGCACCGAGTCTTTGGATGACGCGTGTCACGACTCTGCGTCGTGATACAGATACCCGATACCTGGCTGTGCAGCACTGGCCGATACCGATACCATATCATTACCACCTATTTGAAATTGATTTATGTGTATGTATATATGAAGAACTGCATGGGATGTAAGATAATTGCTGTCAAGCTGCTGCCTACCTTTGTGAAGCAGGAAAAAGACTAAAACAAAATGAATCCAGTAGAACTTTTTATTGCCTCCCTGGAATGGGTGACAATAGTTGAATAAACTTTTGGCTCTCAAAATGGTATCGGTGCCCTATTGGTTGGTACTCAACGATACCGATACCACCATTTTAGTGCTGGATCGGGGCCCCGCCCAATACTGTTATCAGTATCGGTGCAACACCAGCTCTAACTACAGATTGCTCTAATGTAAACTGGCAGAACTGACAAAGCCTCCTGGACGGGTGAGCTAAAGTCTAGTTATCTCTGGTTTGAGTCTGTTTTATGGCTGCTGTGATCCAGATATTTGCTGCTGGTCTTTGTTTGATCCAGACTTATCACAAGAGAGAAAACATCTTTAGCATGCAAACAAACCTTGCTCTAACATTAATTTGTATCCCAAAACAACTTTAATCATTAATCATTCTACTTTAGCTCTTTGAGCTAAATGTATAAATTTATTTTTTAGATCTTATATCTTCCTGCCTGTGTTCTCCAAAGCCTGGCAGGAAGGATTGATGGTCAGTGATAAGCAGAGTGAGTGTTGGGTGATGAAGTGTTGGGGGGGGGTTCTTACCGCAGCTTGGGAGAAAACATGGTGTCTGAGCAGCTCCTGTAGTTTATGTTTGGCCTGGAAGAGAAGCAGATCAGCTGCATATGTTTATTTCCCTCTAAGAAGACGCAGCCTCCCCACCCCCACCCCGGTCTTACATCATTCAACATGTACAGGATGCTGCCGTCTCGGGCCCGGTCCACCGCGTAATTGGTGGGGATGAACACAGTGAGGGGCCCTGGTCCACGGAGAGGAGGAGGGGAGCCACAGTTCTGTGGACATTAACGACCATCTGATTAATGGAGGCGATAAACTCTGACTGTCTGACTTCTCAGACTTTCAACATGCAGCAGTTCCTCCTGATAATAGAGATGTTTGTCTGAGAATCTGAGGCCAGAAAAAAAAGACTGAATGTTATAGATACTGAGCAGATTCAGATTTCCAAAAGGAATTATTACCAAAAAATTATTTTGTTGTTCAAGTAATCTGACCTTCCTCTGTTTGTCTACTTCATACCAAACTCTTTCAACTGCTCTGTTCGAAATCCTGGGATACGTCCTTAGAAGGCCTGATTCAAAGGACGATGACGTCATAGCGCGGCGCCGAGGTCAGGTTAGATTCCAAGAGTCCTCGTTATGCGACCTTAAAATGCGTCCTTGTTTTTGCCCGATTTGAAGGACGGGTCTGATGTATCCTCGCTATCCTTGGTTTACCCAGGATTCATTGTGAGACCAAGCAATGATCAGTGATCAGAGGAAAGGTTACTTGGCGCCGAACAGTGGTGAAAATTGGAAGTTCAGTTTAATATAATCCAGTCTGTGAATAGTTCCGTCTGAAATGAATGAAAATAGTTGTTTCAATGGTTATTGAGTCAGATATGTGGCGGTAATGTTTGGTTTATCTAAAGGTTTTATCTGTTACTGTGTAAATGGGTTTGGCTGTAATTTAAGGACAGATTCTAATATATCTGCAGGGCTGGGACTATAAATCTGATAGGAGTTTAATTTTTTTATTGCTGTTTTGCACAATAGGCTTAACAAAGTATTTTTTGTTGTTGAGTATTAGAGATGTTGCAGATATATTTTATACATACATTGTTTAGATTTACTTATATATTTCTACCCCTTTTATAGAATAGAATAGAAAATCCCTTTATTGTCCCACAATGGGCAAATTTACAGCAGCAGAAAGATTATTGAAAATGGTCACACAAATGTGGACCTTAGAAAAATGTATAAGAATAACATAATAGGGAAGAGTTAAAATATAAACAATACAATTCTGTAAAGTGCTTTAACAATATAAAACTGGGGAGTAAATAACCAATATGCAGCTATGGACATTTTTACAGTAATGGATATTTGAAAATAGCAGCAACATCAGAGATGTGCAGAATGACAGCAGCAGGTTATTTAAATGACTAAGGTTTCTATCATTACATTTGATTTGATTGGTTCCTGCTCCCGGTGGTTGGAACCTTTATTCCACTCTGGATTCTCATCAGTCTTTGTTCACTTTATAATAAAAAATACATAAATAAACAGTTTTGAAAACCTCGGTATTCATTCTTTTCCTGCCTTGTGTGTCAACTTTCAAGGTTGCTAAGCAACAGAGCATAAAACCCGCAGAAGGGTTTTCACGGACTTCGAAGGATCCAGTCCAGGTAGACCGCGTCCTTGGAGGATGCAGCCCAGGATTTCGAACAGAGCCAACGAGTCTCAGAGGCAGAGGCAATAAAACAGGAGGAAGGAAGGAAGGAAGGAAGGAAGGAAGGAAGGAAGGAAGGAAGGAAGGAAGGAAGGAAGGAAGGAAGGAAGGAAGGAAGGAAGGAAGGAAGGAAGGAAGGAAGGAAGGAAGGAAGGAAGGAAGGAAGGAAGGAAGGGTTCGATTTTAAAGGCTGCATCCTCCAAGGACTCTAATTCAATGCTCTTTTAATGCTCTTAGAAACAAATTTAATGTCATCAACAAGTAACCATGATATATATAAATATATAAAACACGGCAAAAAAATGTTTGAAACTTTTTTTTTTAATAAAGTAATTTAAATGCCACTATAATCAATTAAGGTCAATTAAGGACTTAATTTAAAAAATAATAATTTTATTACTTGTAATGATTTTTTAAAGACCCGCAGAAACCCTGTATCTGGACTGGATCCTTCCAAGTCTTTGAAAATACATTAAAACAACTATTTTCATTGATTTCAGATGGAACTATTCACATATTCGTATTATATTAAAATGCACCTCCAATATTCACCATTGTTTAGCACCATTTACCTTTTTCCTCTGATCACGCAGCAACCGGCATGTTTTGACTCGCAATGAATCATGGGATACCCAAGGCTACGGAGGATACAGCTGACACAAAAAGAAGGCTGCATTTGTCGCTTGCATAACGAGGCGTCTTCTAATCTCACCAGACCTCTGCGCCGCGCTATGACGTAATCGGCCTATGAATCTGACCTTCGAAGGACGCAGCCCCTGAATTCCAATTCAGCCTAAATTTAATCCCAGACTGTACTTCTTGTCTCATTTAAAGAGTTTCCATTTATGCGCCTTTGTTTTCTCTGGAGCCAACTGTTAGGTTTATTCAATGATGATTATAAAGTTAATGTGTGTGTATATAAAACATTGAGGAAATGAGATGCTTTACATGTTTACTGCAAACTGTCAGGCAACGGTGGTGGAAAATTACTGATGTTTGTGCAAGGCTAATCACAGTTATCAGGAGACCAATCTATTCTGTGATTCAATCAGAGGAGCATTTTGTCCTATGACCTGATCAATTGCCTTGTCAGAAGAACACTCTATTTTGTAACCCACCCCAAATGTTATGATCTGCTAATAAAAAGGCTCTGCAGAGGAAGTCCGTCAGAGAGTAGTGAGTTAGGTGTAACTCTCTCCTTCTGCAGAAGCTGTTAAAAATCCCTCTTCTGTGTGGACTCAGTTTCTCTTTTACGAACCGACATGTTTGAACCCAACACCAACATTCTCTGCTTCTCTGGTATCAAACCCGCTCAGACATTTGAGCTGATAATGAGCTCTGTTCAGTTTTCTAACACAGTTTTACTGTCAGCAGCATCTTTGAAGAGCAGGAGACCCTGATGAAGCTGATCCTTAACATCGATCATTATACATCCTCCTAATACAAGGCTTTGAATGCAGATGAAAATCCTCATGAAAAACAACGAAACACTGATAAAATGAAGGATCCTATTTTCCATTTACTCTTTCCTTTATTCTTTGTTAACAGATTCAGTTTGTCTCTTATGTCTGTTTCTGGATTTTCTCTGCTACTTGGTCACCTGCTTCTTTTGGCCTCCGTCTCTCATGTTAATTTTTGTTTAGTTCTCATGTGATCAACCTGAAATTATGACAGGTGCAGCTGCTGAGCTGTGATTGGACAGCTGCTGTTTACCTTCACCTTAAACAATGTTTATACTCACGTCAACCAGGGACAGGAAGCGATTAAATTTCTCATCTTTTCTCAGAATCTCGCCGATGGTGAGGTCAGCAAACTAGAAATAAAAACAGGAAATGATCCATTAACTTAAAAAGTAAGGCAGAGATGCTGCTGGGCGGCTCTGGTTCCGTTAAACTGACCTGTTCGTCCCTGGATGAGCTGCTGGGAAGGCTGCTGGTGATTGGCCGGTCGATGATGTGGATGATGCCGTTGGCTGCTGGCAGGTCTGCCTGGATGATCGAGTATGGCTTGGTGGGATCATTCATCAGGATGAACTTCTGCAGAGACAAACACAAAATAATGTTTTCCTTTTTATGATCGTCCTGCAGGACCCCTGACCCTGTGTTTCTTATACAAAAGTTTTTAAATTGTAAAACTTACTTCATATGTTTTGATTTTATATGATAATATTACTTATTGAACATAGTCATGTTTCAATATAATTAAATTCCATTTATTTCTATAGCGTCAATTCACAACACGTCATCTCAAGGCACTTTACAGTTCACCAGATCATCCAGTCAAATCATTCAAAGTTTTCTATCTAAGAAAAACCAGCTGATTGCATCGACTCATTGACTCGAAAGCAATCCCTCACACTAAGCATGCTTGTAGCGACAGTGGAGAGGAAAAACTCCCTTTTAACAGGAAGAAACCTCCAGCAGAACCAGGCTCAATGTGAGCGGCCATCTGCTACTTCAAGGAGACAGAGATAGAAAAAGCAGCTGTAAAAGGCGGCCCCGTCCAGGAAACACACAGCCAGGCCGACGAGCTCCGAGCCAGGATTTTAAATTCTATTCTGGATTTAACAGGAAGCCAATGAAGAGAAGCCAGGATAGGAGAGATGTGATCTCTCTTTTTCATTTTCATCAGAACTCTGGCTGCTGCATTTTGGATCAGCTGAAAGCTTTTAGCTACAGTTTGTGGACTTCCTGATAGTAAAGAATTACAATAGTCCAGCCTTGAAGTAACAAATGCATGGACTAGTTTCTCAGCATCACCCCTGGACAGGAGATTTCTCATTTTTGCAATGTTCCTCAGATGAAAGAAGGAAATTCTAGAAACATCTTTGATATGAGATTTAAATGACAGGTCCTGATCAAAAATAACACCAAGATTTTGTACTTTATTATCATCAGTTTAATCCCATCCAAATGAAGTGACTGACTTCCTTTATAAAGACTCTGGTCCAAAGACTATAACTTCTGTTTTGTCTGCATTCAGGAGCAAAAAGTTAAGAGTCATCCAGGTTTTTATGTCTTCAAAACATGCCTGTAATCTATGTATTATAGAGATAACTCAGGAATATCTGCAGGAATATCAGCTCTGCAATATTTTTGCTGTGTGAATATCTGAATTCTGCTTTCAAAGTGTTTAAAAAGCCCAGAGGGCAGAACCATATCAGTTTAAAAGATGACTGGGAACTACAGGACTGACATTTAGGTCAGTCACACTGAAAAAAAACAACTCGAGGTTTGGCAACAGCTATAAATAACATCTCGGAGAAGCAACTGGAAAGTCCAAGGGTTGTTGAGACACACCTTTCATAATAACGGTGTGCAAAGTTGCGGAATGCCTGCACGCATTCTTAAAAGCTCCACCCACTGCCAGAGAAGCTAGAGGAAACACGGAAGAGGAAGCTCATTTCCTTTCTTCCTTCTGACAGACCACGACAAAAACAGCAGCGCTTTACCTTCGACAGCAGAAAGTGGAGAAAGGAAGGAAATCTTGGATTTTTTCCACTTCTACCTGCAGCACACCTGAAGCAAAAAACCCGTGAGGGTCGGATCCTCATTCAGAGCCAGAATGTCTGCCGGAACAGAGGAGGATCTGTCCTGTCCTATCTGCCAGGACATCTTTAAAGATCCTGTCGTCATTTCATGCAGCCACAGCTTCTGTAAAACCTGCCTGCAGAAATGGTGGAAAGAGAAGAAAACACTCGAGTGTCCCATCTGCAAGAGGAAGTCCTCCCGGAGTGACCCTCCTCGGAACCTGGCTTTAAAGAACCTCTGTGAGACTTATGAACGGCAGAACAACCACAGAGCTCATAACAACGGGTCGGAGCAACTCTGCAGTCTGCACTCTGAAAAGCTCAAGATCTTCTGCCTGGACCACCAGCAGCCTGTGTGCATCATCTGCCGGGATTCAAAAATCCACAACAAGCACCACTTCAGACCCCTAAACGAGGCGGCCCAGGAGAAGCGAGAGGAGCTGCAGAAGTTCCTGAAGCCTTTACAAGAGAAACTGACTCGGATGGAAGAAGCTAAAGGAGACGGAGAAAAAACTGTGAAGTTCATCAAACTGCAGAGCCAGCAGACAGAGAAGCAGATCAAGGAGCAGTTCCATAAGCTTTACCAATTCCTGCAGGTGGAGGAGAAGGCCAAGGTCGCCGCTCTGAAAGAGGAGGAGGCCAAGAAGATGTTGCTGATGAAGAAGAAGCTGGAGGCACTGAGTAAAGATATCGCAGCTCTTTCAACCATGATCACAGCTGCTAAGAAGGAGCTAACAGCTGTAGACATCTGCTTCCTGAAGAACTACAAGACCACAATGAATAAAGTCCACCAGCACCCCCTTCATGATGACCCTCAGCAGGCCCCTGGAGCTCTGATAGACGTGGCCAAATACCTGGGCAACCTGACCTTCCAAGTATGGAACAACATGAAGCAGATCGTCTCGTACAGTCCTGTGATCCTGGACCCAAACACTGCAGACCCGGAACTCGTCCTGTCCCATGACCTGTGCAGTGTCCGATCCGGAGAAAAGAAACAGATCCCTTTGAATCCAGAGAGGACAAAGTTTTCCTGCTCCGTCCTGGGCTCTGAGGGTTTCAACTCGGGATGCCACAGCTGGAGCGTGAAGGTGGGCGACAATAAGGACTGGGAACTGGGTGTACTGGGAGAGACCCAGACGACAAACGAATGCCCTACGGCTCAGCTGTGGAGGATTTCATTTACCGACGGGAAGTTTACGGCCTTCTCCTCCTCTAAACCAGAGGAGGATCTGCTGGTGAAGGATGTGGTGAGGAAGATCAGGGTTTACCTGGACTTTGACAGGGGGAAGCTGACCTTCTCTGACTTTGACACCACCACCAACATCCACACCTTCACAGACACCTTCAGCAACACCCTGTTTCCCTACATTTACACCGAGAGTCAAGCTCCGCTCAGGATTATCCCTGCCAACATCTCTGTGAGCGTCCCCAAATTCACCTAAAAAAGTCAGGATCTGACGGACTTTTGGAGAATTTATTAGATCAGGTATTAATTCCGGGTTCAAATTCAGCTTCCAGGTTGTACACTTAAACTACCTGATTGCTCTGAGTCCATTTCTGCTCATGTTTGAACATTTAGCTTAAATATCTAAAAGCCACAGAAACCAAGATATCATGCTGGTCTGGAGATAAAAATCAGCCAACTCTTTGTCCGAAACTGGTAACTATGACAACGGGAGACAGAAGAAAATGTTTACCTGTCTGGATGACTTTAATCTGCATTTATTTGAACTTATTCATCTAATATGGAGGAGGTAGAGGGATTTGATTACTTCTGGTTTTCAGATTTCTTTAGCCTGTTTCAGTGTTTGATCCGTTTCCAGTCCTGATGCTGGAGGAAAGTTCTTTTAATCGGAAGCTCTGATCCGATTCTTCCTGCAGAACAAGGCCGGCTCTCATTTACATGCTCTATTAGTCTCTATTAGAAATCTGAGGCCTTCATGAGAGCAAAAATGTGGTCAATTTGTGTTCTTTAATCATAGATGTTTTCAGCTGCAGAGGTTTAATATTTTCATTATTAGAATCTAAAGGTTTATGGTTTTATCGTATTTAACCGAGTGTTTAAAATCCTATAACATAATGGGTTCAATGAAAAGATTCTTTTTTTATTTCTACTTAACTTCTTTAAAAAGATAAAAGGCTAAACTTTGAAGTTGTTTTTTTGTGTTGGAATCAAATACAAACTGCAAAAGAAAAAGAAAACAGATCTGGAAACGGTAAGTGAAACCAAACTGGACCAGTAAGAACCAGTAACTGGCTCTCCGGGTTTCGTCAAGTTTTTTACCTCTCTATTTTAGGACATTTAAACATTTATTTAAGGTCCTTTTTATTTAAAACCTGGGCTGAGATAATTCATTGGATTAATCACGATTAATCGATTATTGAAATGTTCATCAACTAATTTAATAATCAATTAATTGTTAACTGGAGTTTAAGGACTCTAAAACATGCCTTTAGCTGATAGTGCAACCCACTTAGAGCAGTAATTAAAGCTACAGTGTGTAATAATTACAGGGATATACAGTCAGAAATGTAATATATTATACATAACTATGTCATTTATCATCATCTACGAGCTCAGCCTCTTAACCTTAATATTTGCGTTGCCTTAGAATTCGTTATTTATAATTACATAGGAGCGGGTCTCGCAGCCATGGAGGCAGACATCTTTGCGCTACGGCAGCGCAGAGCCAACAAACTAGCGATTGCGAGATCGCCAAAATGTCACAACGATGTAGAAAAAATACGGGTATATTTATTATCTTAAGTCTACATGAAATCTTTACTCTACACAGACTAATGAAATACTATCTGTAAAATTATCTATGTAAACAAACCTCATCACTTGAGAAGGTAGGTGATGCGGACGTCGTGGAAGACATTTTGTCCCGTAACGCTCGCCATACTGTTGGGGGGGAGAAGCGGTGGGGGGGAGATGTTCATGTTGCTCCTGTCTGACCGCTAGATGTCGCTAAAAGTTACACACTGTAGCTTTAAGCCATAAATTACACAAAAATATATAAACATTTTGCCTTTAAGATTAAAAAAACGGTTTTGTATGTCAATATGCTCTATACAGAACTCTTCAAGTGAAAAAGTTTTATTTTGATCTGGTTTAAAAAAAAAAAAAAAATCTTCTTTAGGAAAATCTTGCTATCCGATAATTAGCAAAAAACTGTTAGTTGCAACCCTATTTTATTGTAACACATTTTATAAAACAATAACTATACACTGGAAGAAACTGAAATCTAGTTAAGTCATTTTTTCTTAAAATAAGTGCATTTGTTCTTAGATTGAGGAGATAAAAGAGACATTTTGCCAATGTAACAAGATAATTTACATTTAAAATAAGAAAACACAATTGCATTGTCTTATTTCAAGTGCATATTATCTAATTATCTTATTTTAAGAGTAAAAATACTCATTCCATTGGCAAACTATCTCATTAACCTACTAAGATTAAGGATAAACACACTTCGTTTAAGACATTTTTACTTATTTCTAGATCATTTTTCCAGTGTAGCATCTTCACTAAAAAGTTTGGTTAAAAAAAATGACGTCATTAATAAAATGTTTTAATTTAAAACAGCTCAACAATAGAAAAGCAGCTTTAGGACTCTTCTAGCTGTTTGAAGGGGAGGATGAGTATCTGGGCCTTCCTCAGAGAGAACTACATTAACCCATCGACAAAAAACAACAATCTTAAAGCAATGACTGAGCTTTGAAAACATAACTGAATTTAACTTAGAAACAGGTGACCTACATGTGTCAGCAATCAGGATAAAAAGTTGCATGAAATCCTTGTTTTTTAATGATTTCTGAATAGCAAAAACAAGAAATAAGCCTTTTTAAAGCAAACTATCAGGCAGTATGCAGTAACTGGTGGGGGAGGGCCAGATCTCCATTCAGCCACAGAAAACACTGCTCCCTCTGGTCTCTGCCTGTTTCAGAGACTGAACTTTTTTACCAGTTTGGGTTTTATAATGATTTAAATAAACAGTATAATGAAAGGATGATTATTAAACAAAAATACAATGACTGTTGATCTGATCAATAAAATAGGATTTTTTTGGGGTTTTTTTGTTTCAATGTTTACTGTCCGGGGGAAAAGAAAAACAAAAAAAGTAAAAATTTCTTCATGCTGATCTTAATTGATCTTTCTTTCCCAACTTAATGTGAAATTAGAAGACTGGGAACTAAAAATGACTGTGAATCTTTTGTTTTTTATTATGCAAAACAAATTTTTTTTTTTTTTACATTTTTATAGAGATCACAAAATATGAATGATGAAAAATCTAGAAGTTTTTTTAAAACAATTTAATTCTATTTCTAACGTTTAGGAGAATTTTTTTTATTTGTGTTGAAATCAATGTAAAATGTTTACTTTTTAAGTGATGATATGATGTTGGACATTCGTTCATTTTTGTCTTGAAAACATGAGCAGACATGCCGAGAAAAGCTTCTCTTTGAAATTATAATATATATATAATATTATATATATATATATATATATATATATATATATATATATATATATATATATATATATATATATATATATATATAATCTGCCTCCATGAAAACTTTGTACTTAATGTTTTCTTTCTCATTTTGTTGGTTAATTTTAATGTAGGGATGAATAAATATTCAATTAAAGAAACTCTGATCGTCTTTCTGTCTTTTTATTGTTTTATTCAAGTCGTCTTTATTTAATTTTATTCTTTTTTCTTCTGGCTTTAAATGAACCTTGAATTAAACTAAATATCCGAGCTGGAACCTTCTGACCAATCAGCTTCTGAGCTATAAAAGTAAAAAACAAAGGAAGAAAGTTTCTGCACCATAAACAAATATTAACCGTTAGAAGAACCGGATTTGCTGTGAAAGGACAGATTTATGACCTTATTGACTTTGACCCGGAGCTTCTCTCCTCCGTAAAGTTTAAAGTCTTTTCCCTCCAAATCTTTGTAGAGGTGCTGACCCAGGATCAGGTGGTTTTTACACACTGCCTCCTCATCGACACCCTGTGAACAGAGCAGGACAGATTAGGCTCAAAGATTAATCCTCATCAGTTTTATACGTTATATGATAAAAAGACATCCTTAAATGTCTGATTTAAATCCCAGTTTGTACTGTTCAATCAAACAGATTTATCTTCTCTGATTCAAATTGTGTGTTTGAATGAGGCCTTGAAATAAGGCTTCCTGTCTGTCAGGCTTTAGGTTTCTGAGGGACCCAGGCGTGAACAGGAGGGCTGGATTACCGTGAATTATTATAAAAGAACAAAGAAGTTACAGGAGCACATTAACTGGCAGCTAAGCTGGAGGATTTGATCCAAAGAGGGACTTAAAAACTGAGGAGCGTATGGAGAATACATGCTGCCATTTTTATCATGCAGAGCAGCTTGCAGGACGTAAGTGTGACTGTTGTAGGAAACTAGATGGGAACAAATGTAGGAGCCCTTCCTGGATTATCTGAACTATGCAGATAAAGGTGTCGGTTTATTCAATGATTAACAGGCTGCAGATGTAACGTCAGAGATAAATAACCATGATGCTGCAGTTAAATGTAGGGACTGTGATCGTGCCTTATTGTAACAAACTCAACCGGTTTCACGTGGTTTCACTCTACCCATTTATCAAAAAAGTAATAAAATCCATAAAACACATATATATAGAGAGTGTTTTATGTGAAATATTAGAGAGAGAAGGTTTGACTTACACTCAGAGGCTGTTTCAGCAGCGGGAAGAAAGCTGTGAAGGGTCCAGAGTGACTAAGAACCATCAAACAGCCGTTCTCTGTAACAAACACAAAAAAAATTATTTACAACAGAATAAATGGAAGAAAAAAAACACTGAGGATGTGTCATTTTTACCCAGAAATACAATGGGAAGTCAAAATATCAGTAGAATTTTTACAGTATCATAGGAAAAAGACAAGAAAGTATTAAATCCAATTTCACTAAAACCTCCCAAACAACCAATCAAAATTTTTTTTCTTTGTGTTTGTTCAGTTTTACCAAACAAGGCGACGGCTCCGGTCAGATTTTCTCTCTGGTTTCCTCTTGAGTCAAGCTCGATGAGGCGCTCCATCAGGTTACCGTAGCAACGCTGCCCATCTCCAATCTGCTCTGGCTCGCAAACGCACCTGAAGCACCAGGAACAAGAGCAGAGGGATGTACTTTTAAGGAAGTGAAAGTTTTACGCTGGTTCTAAGATGGTCAGCTATTTCTAATGTTTCTATAAAGCAGGATGAAGATAGATAAAAGCTGTTTCCAGATGCTGGGGAAACAAGTTACTCAGAGTCAAAGGTCAGGGAAAGTATGTGGACAATCTGGAGCAGGTATCATTGGCACTTCGCCCCTGATCACAAACATACAACACAGGATGAGTCTTTAATTGAATCAACGTTTCAGGTTTTGAAATAAATAAAAAACAATCAGGAACCAAACTTCCAGGCTGGTGACGTAGAATCTGGTTGGACAGAGTCTCAGTTCTCTAAACCTTCAGTGTATTTGCTGGGTTGGGTTTCAGCTTCTCAGCTGCAGTCACGGTCATTAATATTTGCGAGAGGGACGTTCAATGCAGGTTAAAGCCAGGTTTACACTCAGAAACCAGGTCGTCTGCGTGTGTGTCGTTAACCCAGATATGCTATCCCCCGCAGACACTCTGGTGCACCTCCCCAAAATTGTAGCTGACCGCAGGCAGTGCTGCAGACAGCCGCTCTACACTATTTCCTCTTTGGTACCTAATGGCAGAAATTTTTGCTCTAGTGCCGTCCACAACGCCTGGTACACCTCGGACACTATCCCAGACACCGTGGAGGACGCTAGTTTGTAGCTCTGTGAGACGGTCTGTTGGTTTGCACCCGAAGCCAAAACATGCAGCGCCACGGCCAGTCTTTCGGGAACACTAACTTCGTGTCGTCCGCCATTGGATGAGGGGGTCAGACCTACACATGGACACCGACAATCCTTTTTTTTTTTTTTTTTTTTTTAAAGTGTCCTGTCTGGCAATGTGGCAATAAGAATAACTGCCTTGATGCCAGAAAGAGCCCAAGAGATTTTACTTTCACAAGTGGAGCAGTACGGCCATCACCATAGTGTTCCGTTTGATTTATGCATATAAATTGATTTATTATGATTCATGCAGGGAGTATTACAGATTAAATGGATACTGTAATGCAAGTAGAACAGGACAGAAAAACAGAAAAAAAGGGGAAAAGATGAAAGAAAGAGGAGATAAAAGGGGAGTTGAAAGGGAGACAACCACAATCCTAGCTAGTTTGTGATTGTCCCTCTTGCATTACGGCGTGGAATAACATAGCGCAGACCACCCTGTAAAATTGGGCATGAATAAAAAATATTTGCGTCATACCTGCGAAAAGCCAACTGACACACTGCTGCAGGAGTATACATAGCTCTTAACAGTGTAGAGTTACAGGATATTACAACTTTTTTATGCTCTTTTGTACTATATACACTCTTTTTATATTGTGTTTTGTATTTGTTATCTTTAATGGCATCTTGCTTTGATCCTTTGTACTCTATATAAGCTACAGGAACCCGAATATCCCTGAAGGAGTCATCCGAAGGGATAAATAAAGTTAAGTCTATGTGTAAATGCACTTGGTAGCCTTGTATAAACTCGTGGTCAATGAAAGCAGGTGACCTCATGCTTCACTTATGTCCCGATCTACTATATGCCAGAGAAGCGTTCTAGAACCTTCCACTACGAGTTCACTCAGGCCAAAAATGCTAAAGATCTGAACAAAGTTGTGCAGAAGCAGCCTGGTGAGAGCAATCAAAGTTAGTTGAATAGATTAGACGAAGGTCCAACTGAACGAAGGGAAATCTAATCTATCTGACCTGGGCTTTCCATCCAGCTCGGTCTGGCAGACTGCTGTTGTATCACAGGTATCAACTGAGCAGGCAGAGACGAGCTGGCAGCCGTTCTCAGGGCTGCCTCCTACAGGCGACATTCCAGACATGCACTCACAGCTGGACTGTGAAACAAGAGAACAGGTGATTTCAAACACTGGTTCTGACTTTCAAACTTTTCTGCTCCCACTCTGGGTTTCCTCCTCACCTTGTTTGGTCCTCTGAAGACACAAACAGTGGAGTTGATGGGGCAGCCACCGTTGTTCTCCAAGCAGGGGTTTTTCGGGACGCAGATCTTGCCGTCTCCCTCATAGTCTGGTTTGCAGGTGCATCTGATACTGGTGGCCTTTGTGGAGCACTCGGCGTTGACATCACAGTCTCTCTGGGAGCATGCAGCTGAGGAGAGAAGCAGCACAGTTCAGATTAGCGTCACATGTGAAAATCTAACTAAAATATTGTCAGCAACCTCCGCTTAACCACAACATCCATGTCTTTGCTGCTGACTGAGATTAACTTGACACCGGATGTGTGAAATGAAGCCTAAATTGGAGCTCCAACAGAGGCTGGTGGTGTGTGAAATCAGACCTCACCTAAACACTTGTTCCCCTTCATCATCCTGTATCCAGGCAAGCAGTCACAGCCTGCATTTTCTTCTTTTCCTTTGCAGTACGAGAAGGAGCTGCAACTTCGACACCCGCTGCTTACTATCACAGACAACAAACACAGACACACAAGCAGATTGATATGAGACGGATGCAGCGTTTCCAGCGTTTTACAGCCATGTGCATCACGGAATCCACCTTCACCACTAAAATCTGAGATTAAAGCGAGGCGCTAAATATTACAGTTTTAGGTTCTCTGGTTCTTCATCATTATTCTTTTCATGATGCATCACGTTGATCAGTTTTTGTACCCAATGTGCTTTACTGGAGGAATCCATGTTTGTCAAAGAACACTACTGCCATCTACTGGTTTGTGACGTCACGGTGCGGTATCGGCTGTTGATCAAGTCCCAGTGCTGTATCTGGTGTTTGTCACAACGCGCCATTATCCAAGTCATCTTGAAAACATTCTTCTTCCAAATGTTGGCTACATATTACGGGTTTTTTCTCTGGCCAGAAGTTCGATGGCAAATCCTCCCTCTTCAAGTTGGCGATCCAACGACCAACCCGTCTATGGAGGATCAGGAATCAGAAAGGTGGAATAACTCTTTTTTTTTTTTCCACTTTTACCCGATGTATTCCAACATCCAGCTGCCATGCACGTGGGCATTGTCAGTTTCACTATAGCTCTGGTGAATTTCAATGGTGAAGTCCTCTGGAAATCTTCAATAATTGTTGTTGATTGCAGATGTGTCTAGTAGTTCCCATTGATTTAGCTGGTAAAGCGGGGAGAATGGCGCTAGGCTTACCGCACCGTGACGTCACTGCTGGAAGATGGCAGGAGGGAGGGGTTACTGTATTTGGGCAAAAATGTCCGCTCCCAGACTCGGCGATCGCAGCGAAAAATATTTTTATTTTTTCACTTATTAATACTAAATTCAATAAATCATTGAATGTATTAGTTTTAGGTATTGATAATGATCCATTGATTATTTCTTGCTGACTGGACTTTTCCTTTAAACCATTCGGCACGACGGAGAACCCTCCTCCATCAGTTAGATATAACAATCAATGTTTTACAGATGAAAGAGCAAAAGGCTGTAATTTCCTAAGACCTGCGACAAAGTCAGATACAGAAGGAAAAAAACAGATCTAGATCAGCTAGCCTCCATGAGGGACGTTTGTTTCTAGTGTTTCGTTTCCTCAAGTTTTCCCTTTAGCTGCTGACTGGACAGTATGCTTTAGTTCTGGATTCTGGTCAGACAAAACAGATGATCACCTTCTGACCTTAAATTCCTGCAAACTCCTGCCCTCTGCAACACATCTTGGATTTGCTAACTCCCCCACCTGCAATAGAACCTGACAATCCTCCTTTGGCCACAGACCAACCACCAACCCCTGTAACCAATTTTTACTTTGATTTTTCTACCTGGGCAAACATACAAACCTCCTGAGTACACTGGAGCACAATGAGCAGCTTCATATCTGCACGCTGAGGCCATAAACCAATACTGAACTTGTTATAAACCCATAATCGTAGCAAGTTGTTTATTACAAGAATAAAAAATTAAAGCGGGAATTTCCATTAGTTTACTTTGAATTTCAGGGTTTTGGCTCACTTAAAATAGAAATTTAAAAAATCATGTTGCTCATCAGATCAGCTATATGTAAGAGTCCAGCTTTGGGCATGGTGAGGATCCTGCTCTGGAAGAAATGAGACGTTACACAGTTTCTAAAGTACAAATTCCTGTCACTCTTGTATGTAAAACATTTAAATATTTTTTCTTAGCATTTCTACTATAAAGCATATAATGGTTTAGTATTTCCCAATTGTGGTCGTGCAGCTGGTGCAGTGGTTAGTGCGCACGACCCATGTACACAGCCCCTAGTCCTCCACGCAGGTGACCTGGGTTCGGATCCAGCCTGTGGTCTTGTGCCGCATGTCTCTCCCCATCTCTTATACCATGGCACCACACTTGAGTGAAGTTGGCCCCCCCACCTTCTTCAAATCAGGCGAAATGGGTGTCAATTCACTTAGTCTATTTGTGCAGCAAATATTTTCGTTTGTGCTGCTTTGGATTTGAAGATATTAATGAATATGTAAAGGTCAAAAGGTCAACCAGCCTACCCTACCTTATTCAAATTAAAAAAAATTGGTGTCAAATGTTTGTGCTCCGTTTGTGCAGCAAAAATTTTCGTTTTAAAGATATAAAGAGATGTTTCTAGAGGTCATCAAAGGTCAAATCCCCCCCCCCCCCCCCCACACACACACACACACACCTTCTTCAAATCAGACGAAATGGGTGTCAATTAACTCAGCTCCCTTTGTGCTGGTTTGGCTTTGAATTGGAATTTGGAATTTTAGATCATTTATTGTGTTGATTCACTGTGGCATCTGGTAATTTTGTCACCTTTGGTACTGTTTTTCTTTAAACAAGATTATTTTGGCATTTCTTATTATACTTTTATTGTTTTCTGTTAATGCTCCCCCTGGCAAATGTTTTTGTTGTTTTGTGATATGTACACAATGCAGTTTTGTATTGTTGTGTATTGTAAATAATAAAGTTTATAAAAAAAAAAAGCAAAAAAACATGGAGGTCTGATCTGATTCTCTGTGGTTTTTTGCTCTTACCTTTGTCACAGCGCCTCCCAGTGTACGGCGGCTGACATAGACACTCCCCATCACCGTCAGGTCCTTTGTTACACACTCCGTTCACGCAGTCACACACTGCAACGACACAAACAATCCCATTAAATCTCTCCTCTCATTCATAAAACACAAAATAGATTACAAAGCAGACACCCTCAAACGATGGAACGATTTGTTGAAATAGAAGCAATTTACACCTAGTTTTGATAAAATTGCAGTTTTTCCTCCCTTCAGTCACTAGAGGACAGGATGCAGAACTGATCAATAGAAAAAGCTTTGACTCTATTGATATTCTAGTTACCAGAGGACCTGATCTGCAGAGAACATCTGAGAAGGAATCAGATTTAGCTGTTTCCAAATCAGAGCCTGATGCTGCTGGTTGGTACAGAGAGAAGGTTCCTCTTATTCATGAGGAAATTAAAGGTTGAAATGAGAAAGATTATTAGAGTGTTAAATTATCTGTGGTTTATAGATACAAATTACAGATGAAGCAGCTGATAATTACAACAGAAAATCATATCAGGATTTAATATAAACTTCACTTTCCACACTAATAAAAGGTATTTAATTTCTCCTATAAACCCCAGAATTAGCACTGCATGCTAACATGAAGCAGAAAGCTGTATTCATCTACTCTGGTGACACCTAGTGGTGAAAACCAGCCACTGCATCCTGTTCACAGGTATGGCTGAGTCACCGGAATCAGAGCCGCTGCAGGTGACACTGTGATTAGGTTTAAAAGATTCATCCTGCCAAAACCCACTGCGTTTTTAAACAGCTGTACCGACAGGTGTCTCAGGCATGACTTTTATAGATTCTGGTTTCAGATGTGACCCTTCTGAGCCACCGTAGGGTCATCATGTTAAACAACCACACAGATCCTGCAGCTGCTTCTCCAAACAACCTTTAAGGAAAGCAACAGTTCCTCCGGTTTGCAGCATTATGAACTAATAGGAAGGTTATCAGCTTTAGTTTAATCCAAACAACTTTGAGTAAATTGACTCAGGTTTGACACATTAAGCTTAAATTTATTTGGGTTAAGGGATTTATGAACTATTTCATACCTCCAATGCAAACATTTTTCCCTGTAGAATAAAATGAAACAAGCTGTCAGACAGATAGAGAGAGAGGGCCTACCTTTATCACACTTTTTCCCAAATGCTTTTGGATTTTTACACTCCTGACAAGCAAACCCTGTCAATCCCTCCTGCAGAGAGAAGAAAACATTAATTTCTATTCTGTTCTTTATAAAAATAAACTCGTGCACATAAATAAAACTCTAACACCATCTATATAGAATGTTAATATTTGGCTACAATCCTGTGCCTCCGGAGGCAGAGCTGAAGAAATCTCAAATGTTCCTCTAAATATACATCCTACTTTAACTTTTTCTGTATCATTTGTTTAATATCTAGGTGTAAATTCTGTGTTTCTCTCCACCGATGCTGCTCCGACTCTGCCTGTAAATCTATTTATCATAGTGAACCTAAACAACACAGGAGCAAACATGGGAAACGTTTTAATCTCAGTTAAATCCTGATGCCTCTTGGATTAAACACACACAAAAAAAGAGATACAATATAAATATAAACTAAAATTCCCTAAAATAATTCAAGAGATTTGTTAGATATTGAAATAAGCAGTCCCCATGGTGAGGGGGGTTGAGGAAGGCATCTAGGAAAAAACTTTGCCAAGTCTAAAAGCTAGTTGCAATAATTTACTGTAGAAGACACCTTATTAAAATAAGGTACATTACAGCAAACAAGCTAGCAGAAAACAGCTTGGAGGGTTAAGGCTCTTATTTGAGGTTTGACCTTGTGACCTTCAAGACCCTAGGACACCAATGACCTGAGTTCTAGACCTAAAGTCGTAGTGAAGTGGCTGTTCCAATTGTTGCATTTCCGAATTCTCCCGAGTGGTGCACGACTTTAGAGGAGTGAATAAAGTGAATGTGATTGGTCGTTTATTAAGAGGGCGGGATTGTTGTGGCAGAAGGTTCGCAAGCAAGTTTGATTGTGGCCGGTTTGTGGGAAGCATCTTGCTGACCAGTTAGCAACTTAGTGCTAGTAGGTTTCCAATGGGAAATTCCATTGGGACCAAGTAGCACTAAATTGGTGACTTAGAAACGACGCTGTCAAGGAACGCTATGGACAGAGGAAACATGCAAGAGGAGGAGAGTTTAGTGTCGGAGGTCGTGGAGGTCTCCTCCGTCGTCCATTTTTTATTTAGAGGAGGAAAGCGGGGACGGAGATGTTGTGGAAGAGGACGCCAGGGCGGCAGAAGCTTGGTTTGGTGTAGAAGGCTTCCAGCCGTACATGTTTGAGCCCTTGCCTCGCAACGCTGCCAGTTCTGTTAGCTCTACGCCTGCTGAAGACACAGACATCCATCCCCGTGAACACTGGACGGAACTCAATGGGAAAGGAAAGGATTCTGATTTCAACCGTTGCGTATATTAGCTGGGACATACTGTATGAATGGAGATGCTAAGACCAAAAACATTTGATTGACAGATGACCGTTGATATATGATTGGCCGAATTTAGGTGTTCAGGCTGACGTAGAACTAACTGGCCTGCAGAAGATAACGGAAAACCCCCACAGATTTTAAGAGAGGATTTTTTTAAAAATAGAAATTTTCTAATACATGTTTAAGCCAGAATGATTTGACATTAAAATGACTTCCCTACGACTTAAGGCCATTAATAGAGCATAGAAAAACATGATGCTGCAGCTCTGGTGGCAGCTCAGCTCAGTTATAAAACAATAATCTCTACAGGGTCTAAACTGCCTTCCAAAAGCAAGTAAAGTAAACTGACATCACAGATGCAGGTGCCGTTGCCCATGTCTCCGTCCATACAGGCTCCGTTAAAGTTGCAGGTCTTTCCTGACCAGCTTGGACACGCTGCAAACACACAGATAAGAAGAGTAAAGATCAGAGATAATCTGCTGATGAAACCATGACAGTAACCATGACAAACAGGACAGCTGTGTCTATATTCACACCTTTCTAAAAAGCTCTGTACTGGGGAGAAAGAAAGTCAGGTCTGACCCACGGTAACAAGTGTGAATAAAACCTTAAAATCCCAAAACAAAGTTTCCTTGGAAATGAAATTAAAAATAATAATAATTGAACTTTATTGATCTAAAATTGGAGAAATTCCCTCTCTGCATTTAACCCATCCCCTTGGGGAGCAATGGGCTGCCACTATATGGCGCCCGGGGAGCAGTGTGGGGTTAAGGGTCTTGCTCAGGGTCCAAGAGTGCAGGCTGTGGGGATTGAACCGGCTACTTGCAGCCTTCTCAGAGCACAAGCGCACTGCTCTAACCACTAGGCCAATATTCCCCACAAATAAAACACTAATAATGCTTTTTTCTTTCAGGTCTCCAGCTGCTGTTACATTTTTCCTCTATCTACTCCACTGAAGATTCTAGTTAAAGAACATCTAAATATACTTGGTAGGACATGGGCCAAAGCATTTTGATATAAATGTGTGTTTTGTTTATCACTGAGAATAAAAACAATCATAGCGATTTCAACTAAATTCAATACTTATAAGTATTTTAGACTTTTAGACATGCGTAGGTTCTCTCCTGGTCCTCCAGCTTCCTCTCACAGTCCAAAAACATGACTGTTAGGTTAATTGGCTTCCCTAAATTCTTCTTAGATGAATGGTTGCTTGTCCTGTTTGTCTCTGTGTTATCCTGCGATGTCCAGGGTAGACCCCGCCTCTCGCTGTAGATAGCTGGAGATAAACACCAGCACTCTTCGCGACATCCAGAAGGGATGAAGCGTGACGGTAAATGGATGGATGGACTTTTAGACTTAGACAAAATTACAATAAAAGTTCATAAATGAGGTCATAAATGAATACACAGTGTATACAAAAAGAAATTTCGTTTAGTACAGCTTTCCAGACGGTAAATGAATATTTCCATTTCTTAAGTGCAGCAGTAATCAAATGTAAAGTAGGAGAAAAAACATGGTGAAAAAACAGATTGATATGGAAGATCATAGCATTAAATATATACGGTGCAATTATGCAGTGTTTTGGTTTGGCGTTGTCAGTTTGATGCAGAATCTGACACATGATTTAGAGTTTTTTCATCAGTTTGCTGGAGGTGGGGAAGAAGCTGTTGCAGAACCTGCTGGACCTGCATTGAATGCTGTGAAGCCTCTTCCCAGAGGGCAGCAGACACCTCATCCTATTGGATAAAAGGGCTGTCCATCATTTAAAAGGACCAATCATAACCAAGAAAAGAAAAAATAATTCTCACTTATTAAACAAAGCCAAATGTGCGACAGGCTAGAGATTTTTATTTTTTTTTTTCGAGAATAAAGTCGTAATATTATGAAAATAAAGCCATAAAATTACGGGAATAAATTTGCAATGTAAATAGTCATAAAATTATGAGAAGAAATTCGTAAAATTATGAGAATAAAGTCATAAAATAAGAATAAAGTCGCAACAGTAAAAAAATAAAGCAATAATATTATGAGAATAAAGTCATAAAATTACGAGAAAAAAGTAATTAAATTACAAGAATAAAGTCATAAAATTATGAGAATAAAGTCATAAAATTATGAGAATAAAGTCATAAAATTACGAGAAAAAAGTAATTAAATTACAAGAATAAAGTCATAAAATTATGAGAATAAAGTCATAAAATTATGAGAATAAAGTCATAAAATTACGAGAAAAAAGTAATTAAATTACAAGAATAAAGTCATAAAATTATGAGAATAAAGTCATAAAATTATGAGAATAAAGTCATAAAATTACGAGAAAAAAGTAATTAAATTACAAGAATAAAGTCATAAAATTATGAGAATAAAGTCATAAAATTATGAGAATAAAGTCATAAAATTACGAGAAAAAAGTAATTAAATTACAAGAATAAAGTCATAAAATTATGAGAATAAAGTCATAAAATTATGAGAATAAAGTCATAAAATTACAAGAATAAAGTCATAAATTTATGAGAATAAAGTCATAAAATTATGAAAATAAAGTCATAAAATTACAAGAATAGATTAATAAAATTACAAGAATAAAGTTATAAGATTATGAGAATAAAGTCATAAAATTATGAGAATAAAGTCATAAAATTATGAGAATAAAGTCATAAAATTACGAGAAAAAAGTAATTAAATTACAAGAATAAAGTCATAAAATTATGAGAATAAAGTCATAAAATTATGAGAATAAAGTCATAAAATTACAAGAATAAAGTCATAAATTTATGAGAATAAAGTCATAAAATTATGAAAATAAAGTCATAAAATTACAAGAATAGATTAATAAAATTACAAGAATAAAGTTATAAGATTATGAGAATAAAGTCATAAAATTATGAGAATAAAGTCATAAAATTATGAGAATAAAGTCATAAAATTACGAGAATAAAGTCATAAAATTACAAGAATAGATTAATAAAATTACAAGAATAAAGTTATAAAATTATGAGAATAAAGTCATAAAATTATGAGAATAAAGTCATAAAATTATGAGAATAAAGTCATAAAATTATGAGAATAAAGTCATAAAATTACGAGAAAAAAGTAATTAAATTACAAGAATAAAGTCATAAAATTATGAGAATAAAGTCATAAAATTATGAGAATAAAGTCATAAAATTACAAGAATAAAGTCATAAATTTATGTGAATAAAGTCATAAAATTATGAAAATAAAGTCATAAAATTACAAGAATAGATTAATAAAATTACAAGAATAAAGTTATAAGATTATGAGAATAAAGTCATAAAATTATGAGAATAAAGTCATAAAATTACGAGAAAAAAGTAATTAAATTACAAGAATAAAGTCATAAAATTATGAGAATAAAGTCATAAAATTATGAGAATAAAGTCATAAAATTATGAGAATAAAGTCATAAAATTATGAGAATAAAGTCATAAAATTACAAGAATAAAGTCATAAATTTATGAGAATAAAGTCATAAAATTATGAAAATAAAGTCATAAAATTACAAGAATAGATTAATAAAATTACAAGAATAAAGTTATAAGATTATGAGAATAAAGTCATAAAATTATGAGAATAAAGTCATAAAATTATGAGAATAAAGTCATAAAATTACGAGAAAAAAGTAATTAAATTACAAGAATAAAGTCATAAAATTATGAGAATAAAGTCATAAAATTATGAGAATAAAGTCATAAAATTACAAGAATAAAGTCATAAATTTATGAGAATAAAGTCATAAAATTATGAAAATAAAGTCATAAAATTACAAGAATAGATTAATAAAATTACAAGAATAAAGTTATAAGATTATGAGAATAAAGGCATAAAATTACAAGAATAAAGTCATAAGGTTATGAGAAATAAGGTCATAAACTTACAAGAATAAGGTTGTAAAATTCTGATTAAATTATATATAAATTATGAATATGCTTATGATGGGTGTGAGGGATTGCTGTTGAGTCAACTGCTGTTATGCTATAGAATTACATTGAATAGAATTGAAAATTCATGCAGAAAAAATAAATAAATTGTTTCTATAGGAGAAAGCAGAATGATGCACTGTTGTGATGTTGATTGAGGTTTGGTTTCTGATGCAGAAGCAATGAGAACTCCTGCAGCTGTCAGCATTAAAGCTGATGTGACCTGAGTGGGTGGACTCACACAGGCACAGTGGGCCCCAGTGGCCGGGGCAGCACTTTGGATGCAGGAAACTCTTCACACACGTGTGCTGACATCCCTGAAGCTCCATCTCCCTGCCGCCGATCTGCACCACATAACTGCAGAGAAGAAGAAGCTCATCATTAAGGATCCTCCATGGAGACCCCTGATGTTGACCTCAGGGTTATACCACAGTGCTGACCTGCAGTTGTTGGTGCCGAGCTTTGTGAAGCCACGGGGGCAGCTGGCTGTGATGGACGCGGCGCAGGAGGTGCAGTCGGTGTAAACATCTAACCTCTGAGGGACATCACAGCGACCTGGTGGAGCGGTCTAACAGAAAGAGCATGCATCATTGTCTCATAGGAAAAAAAACACTAATCTACCTTTGGAATGACTCACTTTAGCTCAAAATGTTATTTTTACAGCAGTGTTGTTTAATATGCCTAAAAGTCCCGCACCTGTATGTGCTGAACTTCACTCTGACTGTCAGGTGATCTGGAAACTGCCTGATTACCCATCATCCTACTCCCCCCTCTGGTGGTTTGTGTACACATACAGTAACAGTTTGTTTTCAGAGTAAACGTACTTTTTAAATATATCCTTTTATTGGGAATTTTTTGATTTCACACCCGTTCCTGTGTTCATTTTTTAAATTCTCATATTAGTTTTTTGTTTTCATTTTCCTTAAATGTAAAACAATCCAATTTAACAGAAACAAAAGGCTATAAAACCTTGGTAAATGTAATTAGTTTGGAGTTTCTGAGATAAACTAACTTTTCAACAATATTCTAATTTGTTGTGATGCATCTGTACAAAGATCCTTTTTTTGTTTTATTTTTATATATAATTTCTATCCCAGTTATCAGTTGACATGCAAACTAGTAATGTTCATTTGTGGATGTATCTAACATAAGGGGCAAATCTCTATAGCAGGGGTCACCAACGCTACCTGCAACACCAACGGGCCCTCGAGGACCACATGGGGGGCCCTCAGCATCTTCTGAAAGCAGATAAACTCACCAGTGAACTAAGTTTGAAATGTTCTTCATCATTTAAAGAGCATTTAATCATGCTATGTAAATAAAATAGGAGATTTTAAACATTCAGCATTGTAACCCGTTTTCCACAAATATGACATACAGCAAAAATATACGTAAAAGTAGTTTTTCTCTTTCAAGGCAGCATCAGTTCAAGGATAATACTGTGACATGAACACGTCTGCATGTAGTAACTGCTATGTGCATGGCGTTAAACGGAGGTTTAACATCAGACACAAAGATGGACGGGAGGTGGAGGATGGCTGTGGGTAACGGAGGAAGAGTCGGCTCACAGCAAACTCCACTCCTCCACCGTTCCTCCAACATTTAGAACATTTAAGCATGTATAGGATTTAATGAATGACAACATCTAAAGGCAAATTAGAAATGAAAAGAAACCCAGAACCTTCTGCTTCAGCAAGAAGGTTTTGGGTTTGATTCCTGTCTTTCTGCATGGAGTTTGCATGTTCTCCATGAGTATGCGTGGGTTCTCTCTGGGTACTCTGGCTTCCTCCCACAAACCAAAAACATGACTGCTAGGTTAAATGGCTTCTCTAATTACTCCTTAGGTGTGAGTGTGAATGGTTGTTTGTCTCTGAGTTGCCCTGCGATGGTTCCAGGGTGGATCCCGCCTCTCACCTGTAGACAGCTGGAGATAGACACCAGCACCCCTTGCCACCCCGTTTGGGATAAACGTGACAGAAAATGGATGTATGGATCTATAAAGTTTAGGTAAATGCTGATCCCTCAGGTTCATATGTCAGTATTAGTAGCCCATCCTATGACTTAGTTGTCATGATCTGGCCTGTTTTCTCTCCCTTAATTGGTCATTTCTTTCACCCGCGTTTTCCCTCCCTGCCACAATTATAATTTATTCCTCTCACCTGTTTCTTCTGTTTACATTCAGTTCAGCCTGAGCATTCAGTGCCAGATCATTATTTGTTTTCTGTGAGTCTGTCTGTTCAGTTTGATTTCTTGGTTCATGTCCTGGATCCTAGCTGCCAGTGGAAAGAGGGTTTTAGTGTTTGTCTCGTCTCCTGATCGTCCACTGTTCCTCCCCCGCTGAGTCCTCTTGGTTTTGGCCCATTATGTGGGGAGGTTCAGTTTTTATCAAAGTAAGCCTGGCTCCAGGGAGGAGACCAGTTTAAAGCCCTGCTTCAAGTTCCGGTTCCACGTCCTGTCTCGGCTACCCTCTTCCACTGTGCCTGCCTGTCTGCACCTGATCCTATCTGCTCCTGTGCGTGACCACCTGGTCATGCTTCTGGTCCCAGTCAGACTCTGAACCCTCCTGGAAGCCTGTGGATGCCTGGAAGTCTGGATCCTGCCACCTGTTCGGTTCCTGCCTAATTTGGATCCTGTTCCTGTCTGTTCCTGTCTGTTCTGGATCCCTGACCAGGATCGGCTTCCAGCATGTCCTCTGGGACTGCAGCACTTGGGGACATTCTTGGACTGGACTGTTAAACCAGGTAAGTGGCCAACTCAGATAATCATCTTCTGTCAGATGATCGTGGTCACTTACTTCAGCAGAATGTCTGAGATTGGGCGGTGCCCTGCTCCCCATCCTGCAGTGTCCATGAGCCACAGCTCCACTTTGGTTTTTTGTTTTGTTAATAAACATTTTGAACTTTTCTACTGACTGTCTCTCCTTGAATACTAGGTCTTTTTGTCCGCGATTCATGGCATTAGTAGCCATGAAGTAGCCCTCATTCTTAAAAAGGTTGATCCCTAATATATCTGTAGCAAACTGAGAGCTTTGCTGTTTACCTTATTTAGCTGCTTCTGCAGACAGAGGCAGGACTTTAATTTGATGGGTACCTAATGTGGCCAGTCATGTCAATCAAAACAATTATAATGATGTGTATAAAATAAATAAATCCCAAAAAACAAATAAGAAATAAAAACTTGATGAAGACATATACAGATCCAGCTAACCAGACACCAAAGGCCACAGAGACGTATTTAAGGAGACCTTAAAACAGGAAGTGAAGATGCCTGTTAGCTTTCTGACTGTGAGTTCAGTCTCCAAAGTTTAGGCATCACAATAGAAACGTCTGGTAACATCCAAGTTTCAGCCTTTAGTAGAAAACAGAAGAAACAGCTGAGAAACGTCAGGTTGAAGCAAGAGCAGAGGATTTTCACTTCAAGCTAATGGAGGCAGGACAGAATAGATGGTGTGTGGTATGTCTGTGTGGTATCGTTAAATGATGGGCTAGCAGTTTTGAAAACAAAAAGGTTGCAAAACCAAAGTCTGACTGTGCAGAAAATCTACAGCCACTTATTCCTCGATATCACAGAGACACTGCAGGAGGATTTGATTAGGAGTGTTCATTTGGTGTTTTAGGCAGGTAAATCCAAGGATCATGCACATAGAAAAGAAGTGAACAATCCTGAGACATGAACACCAAGATATTAGGAACAACACGGGGCTACAACACGTAGCCTGTGTCCAGGCTACGTCGCCGGCTCGGGTTCGGTCGCTCCTTGCCCCCATCCGCCGGGGTTCCCGGACCAGCCCCGGAGCTGACGGCTCGGTTCTGCTGCACTGTAGTCGACCAAAATCCCGGACTATTTTGAAATTCCACCCCCTGACATTTTTTAGGTTTGAAAAGCAGGACATGTCAGTGAAAAAGAGGACGTCTGGTCACCCTACCATATCAACACTTTGATGTTTCAGTGAGTGAGTGCTTGTTGCTATGATGCGTCCTTGCTCATCAGCTTGGCTCGTTCTAAACCAACCAATCAGAGCACAGCTCATCTAAATATTCATGATCATACCATAAAAGGAAGAAAACCCGTCGTTTCATTCTAGGGCTTTTAACCAGGCTGCATTAGGGCTCATAGAACAGCAAATATGCCATTTTCAGTCCAACCAAAGTTACACACCCTATTCAGAGACCTGAAGGGCCAGATACCCTATAGAATCATTCTATCACCCCTTTAAACCACATTTCCATTTTTCAGCACACATTAAAGTCAAAGATTACAGCTGCTGTGATTCACTGAGGTTCCGGTTTTCCTTTATAGAACAATCCTATGGATTTCACATCAGAAAATCACATGTACTACATGGAAATCACATATTATAGCACATGTATACGTGTAGAATTGGGATGTTTTATATTAAAAGATATGTGCCTCAAATGAGAATCATATGTGCTTGAAAATGTGGATTTTTTTAGCAAATTCTGGGCAGTTTTTCTGTGGCTCTCATTTTGGTTACATCCGTATCATATCGACCAAAATTAAAAAAAATATATCATGACATGTTACAACATCAGGTCCTTCCTGGGCAGTACTTACTGCTATGCAGTGGTGGAAATAGTACAAAAAAATGAAAAATAAAAAAATCCCTCAAGTAAAAGGAAAGTAACTTAGATAAACTATAACTAATTAAGTTACAGAACAATCCTCAAATAAAATAAAAAATGATCTAAGCAAGATTTTATCTTATTTAACCCTTTAAAGCCCGATCCAAGAATAAAACAAAACAGAAAATTACTTTTTTTTGGTTTGAAGTCCTTATTTGGCCTTTTAACAAAATATGTAAAAAGAAAAAATAGAAATACATTTTTGATACTAATAATTTATTACTATGCGATAAGTCAAGATTATTTTTTGTGTAGTCTTCTACTGGCTGTTATCAGGTATATCTGATTGTGTACAATAGGATTTTGAGCAACGTTTTTACCATTAAATTATGCAAAAGGTGTCAGATGCAAAACATTTCAGAAACCGTTTGTATCAAATATGAAACATTTGGCATTACAGGGTTAAAATAAGACTTTATAAGAAAAAATTTAAGTAAAAATTTACATCAAGATATTTCACTTTGCGGCTCGGATGGTTGCTGAGGCAAAAACTCGGGTGTGGGAGGAGTTTGGAGAGGCCATGGAGAAAGACTTCCGTACGGCTCCGAAGCGATTCTGGTCCGCCATCCGGCGTCTCGGGGGGGGGGAGCAGTGCAGCACCAACACTGTTTATAGTGGGGATGGTGTGCTGCTGACCTCGACTCGGGACGTTGTGGGTCGGTGGGCGGAATACTTCGAAGACCTCCTCAATCCCACCAACATGTCTTCCATTGAGGAAGCTGGGCCTGGGGACTCTGGACTGAGCTCTCCAATCTCTGTGGGCGAGGTCGCCGAGGTGGTTAAAAAGCTCCTCGGTGGCAGGGCCCCGGGGGTGGATGAGATCCGCCCGGAGTTCCTGAAGGTCCTGGATGTTGTAGGGTTGAGTTGGCTGACGCAACTCTTCAACATTGCATGGACATTGGGGGCAGTCCCCCTGGATTGGCAGACTGGGGTGGTGGTCCCCCTGTTCAAAAAGGGGGACCGGAGGGTGTGCTCCAATTACAGGGGAGTCACACTCTTAAGCCTCCCCGGCAAGGTCTATTCGGGGGTGCTGGAGAGGAGGGTCCATCGGATAGTCGAACCTCGGATTCAGGAAGAGCAGTGTGGTTTCCGTCCTGGTCGTGGAACGCTGGACCAGCTCTATACCCTCAGCAGGGTCCTGGAGGGTGCATGGGAGTTCGCCCAACCAGTCTACATGTGTTTTGTGGACTTGGAGAAGGCGTTCGACCGTGTCCCTCGGGGGGCCCTGTGGGGGGTTCTCCGGGAGTACGAGGTGCCGGGCCCTTTGATACGGGCTGTCAGGTCCCTGTATGACCGGTGTCAGAGTCTGGTCCGCATTGCCGGCAGTAAGTCGGGCTCGTTTCCGGTGAGAGTTGGACTCCGCCAGGGCTGCCCTTTGTCACCGATTCTGTTCATTACCTTCATGGACAGAATTTCTAGGCGCAGCCAAGGTGTTGAGGGGATCCGTTTTGGTGGCCTTAGGATTGCGTCTCTGCTTTTTGCAGATGATGTGGTCCTATTGGCTTCATCAGGTCGTGATCTGCAGCTCTCGCTGGATCGGTTCGCAGCCGAGTGTGAAGCGGCCGGGATGGGGATCAGTGCCTCCAAATCCGAGGCCATGGTCTTGAGCCAGAAAAGGGTAGAGTGCCTTCTCCGGGTCAGGGGGGGTGTCCTTCCCCAAGTGGAGGAGTTTAAGTATCTTGGGATCTTGTTCACGAATGAGGGAAGAAGGGAGCGGGAGATCGACAGGCGGATTGGTGCAGCGTCTGCCGTGAAGCGGGCGCTGTACCGGTCCGTCGTGGTGAAGAGAGAGCTGAGTCAAAAAGCGAAGCTCTCGATTTACCGGTCGATCTACGTTCCTACCCTCATCTATGGTCATGAACTCTGGGTCATGACCGAAAGAACGAGATTGCGGATACAAGCGGCCGAAATGGGTTTCCTCCGTAGGGTGGCTGGGCTCTCCCTTAGAGATAGGGTGAGAAGCTCGGTCATCCGGGAGGGACTCGGAGTAGAGCCGCTGCTCCTCCACGTCGAGAGGAGCCAGTTGAGGTGGCTTGGGCATCTGTTTAGGATGCCTCCTGGACGCCTCCCTGGTGAGGTGTTCCGGGCACGTCCCACCGGGGGGAGGCCCCGGGGAAGACCCGGGACACGCTGGAGAGACTATGTTTCTCGGCTGGCCTGGGAACGCCTTGGGGTTCCTCCTGAAGAGCTGGAAGAAGTGGCTGGGGAGAGAGAAGTCTGGGCCTCCCTTCTTAAGCTGCTGCCCCCCCGACCCGACCCCGGATAAGCGGAGGAAGATGGATGGATGGATGGATGGATTTAACCTTTTTTCTTTATTTTGACAAAAAAGCATAATTAAAAGCAGTGTTACATATTTTCCTAAAACAACTGCTGGAAAACCTTCAAGGATCTTAATAAGTGATCATCTCCATAGAAACAATTATATTGATCAATTCTAAAACATATTTATAGGTGAAGAAAAAATTATTTTTGGTATATAAAACAAATTGAAACTGCATTTAGAGCATAAACCCATATGGAAAGTTGCGGCTTAGACAGAAGAGGCTTAGTTACTGTATGTTAGCAGAAAATGATCCTTTTGGTCAATTGTTGACGTTTTTTATAAATAAAAACTTACATACAAATAACTTTCCCTCTTAATCAAGTACATGTTTTGAATATACTTAACATTTAAAATAGTTCAAGTGCAAATGATTGAGAAACTATCTAATTCTCTATTTTATTTTTTCAAATTATTTGAAAACAATAAGGTGATCATTTCAGCGGGTTTAAGAAAGGATCCCAGTTTTCATCTGCTAATTTTTTCCCCCAAAACAAAAAAAAAAAAAATTACAGCTGAATTTATCTGTTTTTCTTGAGTTCTAATTCATATTTTATAGAAAACTGTAATTTTAAATTAAATTTAATCAAAAGTATATTGACCTAATAAGACATAGAATTTTAATTAAACCTAATTGAATAGAAATTTCACTTTATGCTGCTTTCTAGATGTCGTATGGAAGCGGCTGTTCCAACCGTTGCAGTTCTGAGTGGGAAAATAAATAATGAGTCTTATTTCTTATTTCAACCGTTGCGTATTTTAGCTGCGGCATACGAATTAAAATGCTATGACCGAAAAAAATTAGATTGACAGATGACCGTTGATATATGATTGGCCGAATTTAGGTGTTCAGGCTGACATAGAACTAACTGGCCTAACGACAAGATTTTCTTTTAAATAGAAATTTTCGAACTTTCAGGACAATATATTCTGATAAATAGTACAATTATGTACATGTTTAAGCCAGAATGATTTGACATTTAAAAATGGCTTCCCTACGACTTTAATATATTTGAATCCCTTGCCCTGTTTTTTATTTATAACTTACAATTGGCTTTAGAAGGATACTTCTAAAGAAAGGTTGATAGACATCAAAAATAAAATCTTCTTAATAGAAAAGCTGCCCTGTAAGTTAAAACTAAAAATTAATTCACTTAATGAATGTAGGTCAAAATGGCTAATATACCTCAAAGCTGTAGGCTGTAAAGCTGAATGTGTTGATGTCGCATGATGGTGTTCATTTAAGATTTGTAAGTAAGAATAAAAAAACAATAAAATGGAAATAACAAAAAAATAAGTAAATACTTAAAATCTAATTTTAAAAAAATCTAAAAGAATAAGGTAAACAATAAAATCAACACCCCACTTTAGGACCCAACAGCAATGTGTTTAATCATTTGGAAGCCACAACGTAAAAATGAAGAGAAAAAGAAGAGGTCAGAGGAACGAACCCTGAGGAACCTCAATAATAAAGATGTTCAGATGAAAGAAAAAACTTTCATTAGTAAAACTAAAATCTAATTCTCTATTAGGGCTTCAGGGTTTTATGGAAAGTGTAGCTGTTTGACTTCCTGCTCTTGACTACCTCATAGTTGCTTTAGTGAGCTCAACAATTACTGTATGAGATTCATTCTTAATGTTTTAAGTTTTCCATCTAGAAACAGAAGTAAAAAATTTCATCCCCCAGCAAGTGAAACATCTTAACAGGAAACAGTGCTGCTGCAGAAAACTGTCACCGTCAGGATGGGACGTATCCACTAAACCCTCACATTCTTAATAGACCTCCAAGATCACACTGCAGTCTCAGTTTACTAGTGCTGCTGGTTTAATACCAATAGTTATTTACGGGAGAAAAAAAAAATTGGATGTAAACAACCTCTAAGTTAGATCCAGATTTGTAAATCAAAATTTCCTGAAAGTTTCCCAATTGTAACAAAAGAAGGTTTCGGTCCATGCTGCTTTTCTCTGCAGCCAAAGGAAGTTTTTCATTCATTCAGCAGAAATAACTGGACAAGGGGAAATATGCAGCCCTGTGGTCCTCTGCGCTGGTTACTTTAGAGCTGAGATGATAAAGTGACAGAAGTGGGTCTGAGGTGGTTTACCTGCTGTTGTCCTGATGTTTGGATGCAGAAATCCAGCGACACGAGGAGAAAGAGCAACATGGCTCTAAGTCTCAGGTCCAGAGAGGAAAAATAAAGCTTTAGTATCTTCAGTAGTTAAGATCTAACTAAACAGCTAACTTTAAAATGCAACCTTCAAGGCTTAGTTCAGGAAAAAACACAAAGATAGGAACATCCTCTGTTCAGGAACACAATGGCCATTCCAGGAGGACAAACTGTCAACTGAGAGCTGCCTCCTTCTCATCCGTACATAAACGGGCAGAAAAAAATCTACAAGTTCTTATGATAACAAACAACAGGGTGGATCCAGGCGTCGACGGTGTTATCAGCAGAATTCCTCGCACTCTTTGAGCCTGATGTGAGAGGAAGTAACCGAGAAATTACAGCAACAAGTTGCCCATGAGCCCAGCGTCCAGCAGCCAAGGCTGGGAGCGACTGCTGCTGTCCTTTTCCTCTCATCTGGGGAGGAAAACACAACAGAAACTGGCAAAGACAGGAACCTCCCAGCAGAGGTCATCTCCTCCCACTTCATCCCCAGTGGTGCCAGCAGAGGTACTGGTGAAATGTTGCTCCATGGCTGGAGCGGTCGGGCTGGTTCTATGGAACTAAACATGGCAGAAAACTCATCCAACATTTCTGAGGTTAATAAGAACGCAGAAACTCACTGCCCTCTTTATTAGACACCTCTTGCTTTTTCATGTTTTCCACCTATGAGCAGATATGTTAGAAGATGCCAGAGACCATCTGCAGAGATCAGGGTCCATTTTTAAATGAGAGAATCTCACAGAGGCTGCAGATGTCATTGCACATCCCTGATAAGAACCTCCTGTTCCTCAACATCTCAGCCGGACTGAGATCCGATGCCGATGAAGATCATCGGAGATCCTGGAACTCAAACGTTCCAGAAACCAGTTTGAGATGAACTTGTAATTTGATGCATTATCCTGCAGGAGGCGCCATCAGAAGATGGATTTGGGTTTGAGGGGAAGGAGATGCTCTGCACTGCTACTGAGAGGTCGATAGGTCCATCCAACTGTTTCCCAATCAGTTATTGTCTAATATTGTCATGGTCCTGCCCTCTGTTCTGTGTATTTGTAGTTGATTTCTACCAGTTCTGAGTTCTCTACTCTCTGTTGCCCCTTTGTGCTTGTTTCTTTCCCTTTGGCTAATTGGTCTTGCCCAACCCTGCTCCGACTCTGTTGATTAGCCTGTCTTGGTTCAGTCTCCCAGGCTGCTCAGTGGTTCAGTGTGTAGCACTTCTGCCTTGCAGCAAGAAGGTTCCGGGTTTGAATCCCGACCTGTGGTCTTTCTGCACTAAGTCTGCATGTTCACGCTTTTCATACATGGGTTCTCTCCAGGTACTCCGGCTTCCTCCCACAGTCCAAAAACATGACTGTTAGGTTAATTGGCTTCTCTAAATTCTCCTTAGGTGTGAGTGAATGGTTGTTTGTCTCCGTTTCCCTACGATGGACTGGCGACCTTTCAAGGGTGTACCCTGCCTCTCACTCCTAAATAGCTGGAGATACCAGCACCGCATCCCAGCGACCGCGCTTGGGATATGCGTGATGGAAAAATGTTAGAAATATTGCAGCAGAGACTGTGGCTGACTGCCTTCGTCCAGGGCCTGCTTTAGCAATATTAGGTTCTAAACAAAAGTAAAGATCCCGCCAGAAAACTGCTTTAGTCACGCAAACTTTGGTAGCAACTGAAAAAGATAGACCACCACCTTATAATCCTTCAACCCCCCAGGCAGATTCCAAATCTAGATCCAGACTTGGATGAATTGAGTAAATAAGATCTTCTATTATCTACAGACCAGCCGAAAGGAGTTATATATGCTGCAGCAGATGGCAAATCCTGATGTAGGAAATCAGCAGCCTCCAATCACAGTTTCCAGTCTATGGTGGTTAGAGGAATTTAGAAAAACTGTGGCAGACACAGCCGGAAGTTTTCCGCAGGAGGGCGGATTATTACAGAGCCCCTAAAGGAACATGGAGGGGAAAAAAAGAACTTTTGCGAGATCTCGCAATACTTTTGCGAGATCCTGCAAAGTTTATTTTTTCCCTCCATGTCCCTTTAGGGGCTCCGTAGATTATAGACATTTAGGGTCTATAAAATAAAATAAAAACAGGAGAATATTGTCCAATCACCTTTTTTTATTCCACAATCTTTGTAAGGTAATTAGAATACTGAAAGCATTTTTTTTTGGAAAAATGTTTTTTATTTTTGAAATATCATGTGTCCAATGCAGTGGAAATCGGAACGCCATACATTTTAAATTGAACCTCGATGGCAACCATTTTGTCCCAAAGAAACTATATAAACATCAACATATCAATGAATTTCACACTGACAGAACTTTCCATCATCACATTTGTTTTTCTCTCCTGTGCTTACTGGCTATGATACTTCAAAAAGCAATTCCCTTTCTTGGAAACACACAGGAACACTTTGCACTCTGTGCACATCACATATGTTTTGCCTGTGCAACCAGTTCTGCGACACCTTCAGGCATGTGTTTCATCCACCATCTCTGGAAGATGGATGGCCCCGTAGTGTCTCAGAGCTGCATTTGGCTGTGGCCTCCATTGCTTCCCCTTGACGTGGAGGAGTGTAGTCATCTTCACTGTCACTTCCGATTCCTGCTTGGGCCTGAGTAATCAACTCTTCACCAAGGAGCAGTTTGAAGTTAAGCAACTTCAGTGGTTTCTTTCCCAGAAACTGGTAGTCACTCTTATACTGAAGCCATGAGTTGGTGATTGCCAGGTCAAAAAAGTGGACAATTACATCACTCTCCATTTCAGAGTGCAAGAAGCCATCCTGTAGAAACTCAACATTCGGTCAACCAAGTCCACGCCACCCATGTTGGTGTTGTACTCAGCAATTGCCAGTGTCCTTGACACCTGGACAAATCTTTTCTCTTTCTTGGACCATCGTCTGCGTGTGTCCCAAAGTTGAAGGGGAATACAAGTTTATGATAATCCATCCAATATTACTGCTACAAACAAAGAAAAAACTAGAATGCCATATGTGTGTTATAATGGCACCATTTTCTCTAGCACTCTGTGGCTCCCCTTGGAACAACTAAGAGTAGAGAGGATGGACAGAGAAAAATTAAGGAAAAAGAAAAGACTGTGATGTTTCACAGAGATGAGGATAATGAGACAGGACCAAGGGGACGTGGGGAAGAGGCTAGAAGGCAACGGGACGAAGAAGAAGAAGAAGAAGGCGCTGTAGATGGGGAAGAAGTACCAAAGGAAGAAAAACAAAATCTTTTCAAAGAGATATGCGATTCAGATGATAAGGGAGGATGTGTTTGTGGAAAGCAAGAGGGAGCAGAGTGCTAGAAGCAATTTTTGATGGACATGCAATGTAGAATAGAAGGTGTAAAGAAAGTTATTGGAAAGAGTAGATGGAATGTTTTTTGTACCAAAGATATGACGAGGCTTTGAAATGATTAAATGGGCTTAAATGACTCTGGTAACCCCCCATTTATAATTTTTGGTGACGCTGGAGGATGTTGATGCAACTTGTCTAGAGATTGATGGTGTACCATAAATAAAAATGTTGATCGTATAAACTATAAACATTACAATGTCCAGAAGTTAGGAAACTGGACCCAAAGTGGTTTTAAAGTTGCACATGGAAAACTGGCTGCGACTTTACTCATGGCTTTCCAAAATAGAATAATTTTAGACATGTTGTTAGCAGAAAAATAACGGAATCTGTGCTATATTCGGCGAGCAATGCTGCACTTTTATCCTTAATAATACAGCTTCTGACAGCAGCCTGACCATAGCCCTGGAGGGCCTCAGGTCATTGAATGGTAAAATGAAAGAGCATTCTGGCGTGGTCACATCAATGCCGAACCCATGGTTGGACACGTTTGGCAAATATCGGTCCTTGGTGTCCTCAGTCTTAGTGTCCATAGCCGTGTTTGCCGCCAATTCTAATTCCCTGTATTCGCAGCCTCATTCAGAGGCTTATATCCACAGCTATTTCTTTTCCGCAGCAGCAATCTCAGATGTATTCGCTCCTAGCCCACACAGACTCTGCAGATGAAGATGATGACAATCAGAATGTGGCAACATTGTTTGCTCACCATGAGTGATTTCACAATCCCTCTGAGTGTAAGTGTTAATGTTTGTGTTACTTTATGAGCTGATGGTTGTCAATCATCTTTGAAGTGACTATCTGGTGAAGTTTGATAATGTTTTTCTATATTCACATTATACACCATAAACAGGAGGGAAATGTTAGAAATATTTTACTTATACTCTTACTCCGTTTGGATGGGTTGTGTAACAATGAACTATTATGATGCATAATGTGTGACATATTACTGTTCCAGAGAGGTGTTGCACAAGCAGTATAGGTCAACTCTCAGGAAGTATTGCTCAAGCTTAATGAAACCAGCCGTTCTCTGACCATTTGACCGCAAGACATTTAAATGCAAATTGACCTGTTCTCTGAGGCTGCAAATTGAATTGTCTATCTTGTTTCCCTTTTCTTTAGTGCAACCTCAGTTTGTGTAACTAGGGACTCCCCTGACTTTAATAAATATCGAGGAGAAAGCTGAAGACCAGCAGAGTGGGTTGGAGATTGTAACTGCACGGTCTCTTCCTACTCTCCTCACGAGTAAAAAAAAAGAATTCTGACTCTGTGCCTTTCTTTCCTTGTTTTACAGTGTTTTAGGTGTTAGACCTGACAAAAAATAATGGAGGGATGATTCTGTCTCCCAATATAAACTCCACCTCTGCAGTCACTCAGTGCTGGTTTGGTTAATCTCTGCCTCCCCACGTGAGGTTTCCCTGAAGTATCCCAGTTTTTTGTAGTTTTCCTCTGTTGCCTTTGAATTCTAATTTAATCTGCAAGACTCACCTCTGCCTCCTGATCTCTGCATTTGGGTCCTCAAAAACCTGCACTCAACCGTGACAGATATGCCTGTGTGTATTCTTCACTTCTTCTACATGAGTTTTCACGGATGCTGTTCTCTCAGAGTTGACTTGATTTTCTACAGCCTTTCTGTCTCATCTGACCTCTGGCAGGCCTTTCCATCAACAACACTGGTTATTTCCTCTTTTCCAGAATATAATAACGACATTAACCAGTAGAGCCAGCTGTGCATGAAAATCCCAGCCCATCAGCAGTTTTCAAAGAATCAGACCAGTTTGTCTGGCACCAAGTAAAACTGGTGTCTTCCTCATTTTAATGCAAACTTCAATATTTGGCTTCATTAAAAAACGGATCAGCGGTTTAAAACCTGCGGCTCCGGAGCCACAAACGGCCCTATGCAACTTCTTACTTCACTCTTTGGCTAAAAGTGATAAAAATAGTTTTAAATAAGAAGTGGAATTACAAACTATTATGAAATAATTATGAAATTATTACAATGATTTTGTCTTTTTTTCTCATAAAATTTTATGTTTTATTACATATAATTGTTTGGGGAAA